TGTTCCTTATGGGGACAAAAGTCCCAATAATGTAAATCATTAAATTCTTAAGGAAGAGACACGTTAGGTTAAAGGTTGAGGTTAGATCATTAGTGACTATGGTTAAGGTTAAAGTAAGTCTCCAGAAAATCAATGCAAGTCAATGCAGTGTCCTTTAAAGTAATGGAGACACGACTGTGTGTGTGTGTTTTAGATAATTTACAGGATGTACTGACATTCCCCTCTAACAAATCAAACAAGCCAAGTCTTATAGACTGTCAGTAGTGAGTTAAGACTTCACATTAAAACGTTAAAACTTGTATGTGTGTGTGTCTGTGCATCTGTGTATGTGGGTGTGTGTGTGTGTGTACTGGTTAAGTGTCGAGACAACCGCTGCGATGTTGTGATTAAGCTCGCTCACTGTTTGCTCTGGAGTGCAGCACATTCCTTGCAGCCTTAATTGATAGCAATTTTGTGGTTTTAGATGTGGTGTTTGATTGGGAGGCGAATTTGAAGTCTTGATTTGAAGGGCACAGAGTTTTTATTGTCTTTGGAACGTTAGGGGTGAATGCCTGAGTGATGGCCTTACTACCTTGTGAGACACATCAAGGGGGGAACCAGAGAGTTGGCACTAACTTGGACTGCTGCATTTCTTTTTCTTTTTTTTACCTCTCTCTTTCAGCTTTTGTTTTTCGTGCCTTGCCAATGCAAAAGTGAAAACTGAAAGCTGCTCAGTGTGCAGTGTATTCCCTCTGTGCCAAGAGCTGTCCATCCGAACAGTTGTTTTTCCTTTATAACCAGCGGAATTGTCCCTCCAGGGGACACCTGGCTTGTTCCCCACCTCCACTGTGCAAATGTTCACTGGCTCAAACTGCCAGATGTTATGAAAGGATCTATTGAAGTAGACCTTTAGGTCATAAAGGGATCGAAAAAAAAGCCACCACGACTGAAAGTCTTTTCTGATACCTTTGTGACCACACTATGTCATCTGACTTTACATGGGGCTCTCACGTTTAACTCCTTGCAACGCAAAACACAGTCAGGAAACCGGACGTGAAGTTATTTGCTCTCGAATAACTCTGGGTTTTGTTTTGATGTATCTTGTTGTCAGCGGTTTTTTTTGCCATAGTGTGACTGAGATTTTTTTTCACAGAGAGAGAGCTGGCTAAAGATGGAGAGAAGCTGTCCAGAGCAAAAAAAGGTTTGAGAAGCAGCGGCTGGAGCACGAGTGATAGAGAATGAGAGAATGGCAAGCAGGGTGGAAAAAATAGGAAAAGAGAATTTGAGATATTAGGAGAATAAATTAGGGGAAGAAAATTGGTTTACAGTTGTCTGTCTGCCGTTATTGCCGCTCTATGACTTTCTGACATGCACACACATACACACACACACACACACACACACACACACACAAAATTGTGAAGTTGCAGTTGGCCCAGCTCCTTGTTTGTACTAGCGTGCTTGACCGAGGCCTATTTATTGATTGGCTCGTGTGCCAGACCTGAGGACTCGTGGGGCTCGGATACCCCGGATTACTCCCCCCACACTCACACACACACACACACACACACACACACACACACACACACACACACACACTCACTCTCTCTCCCAGTCCTCCTCCCTCCCCTCAGCTTATCCGAATTACTCCTGAGGAAGAACGGGAGCAAGTCAGAGAGGAGACGACCGGCAGACGGGACACACAGAGTGACCCAGAGAGGGGGGCATCACACATCAGGCTCATATACACACACACACACGCACACACAAATAACACTTGAGCAGAACTGGAGTGACAGGCTTGCACACTTTGTAAAGCATGGAGCAAGACTTTTCATCTTGCAAGCTACTGGTGACGGCTCTTCTTATACTGGTACAGTAATATTTGTACTTTTTTCGAATTTCATCGTCTAAATATTCATTTTGTTGAGTGATACTTTTTCTGTTGTCTTTTATTTCATAATGAATCATCTTAAAGTACTTGTGCATTCAGAAAGCATGTGTTATAGTAGGTTTCTTTACTGTATTACAGTATGCAGTATGGTTATATGACCCTTCTATCAGCAGAAGCTTTAACAGGGCATTTATTAATGTGACTTGTATTACTAACTTTCATGCCACGTTACGCAAGTGCAGGTCAACAGGCTGTTTTGTCAGAGGGCGAGCTCTCCCTGTTACATTGCACTGACTGCCTTGCGGCATGACAGAGAGTGCAGCGTCCAGCGCACAGCAGACGACAAGAGATTCAGCAGATGTGCAAATATCGTATGTCTTGCCGACTGAAATGGCCATCGTATGTATATTGACACAGTCTGCTGCAGGAGTCATTTTTCTTTTCCCCTGTCGAGGACTTTTCCATCTTCAAGGAAAATGTCCCTGCATCTCAGCCGCTGACAGGTGACTTAAATAGAATCCGTCCATCAGAATAACACATAAGGTGGAGGTCAGTGGTCTTTATATTGTATATTCATTTCCTCAATTCCACTGGGTGTGAAAACATGGGGTGGGTGACAGCCAGGGGGCCTTCTGTGGTGATGAATTAGCTCTGTTTTACTCATATCAACAGAGCCGGAGAACAAATAATCTAATTTTACATTCTTTGATGAGTAAATGATGAGGGAATCTTAATATTAAAGCGGGGCTTGCTCCCTCCATACAGTGCAAATAAAACCCTGATGGGATCAGAACAGAAGAGGTGGGATGTGTCGTGATGAGGCTTAGGGAGCGTCCAGGAGGATATCTGAGACTTTGCATTATTGAAGCCAAATCCCAGCAGGACGGCCCTTTGACTAGAACAATGGCAGCGCAGTTGGCCAAACAACCTCCTCATCTCCATCCCTCCATCCCTCCACTTTCCCTCCTTTTTCCTCACTAGTCTTGTAATGCCTCCAGCTGTAATTGAGTGCAAAATTCACTGATGACTTTTCAAAGGAGAATTAAAGGTGGAGCTCTGACTGGCTGCCCAGAGCGCAGCCCTGTGTTTATTTACCGTGGATCCAAACATTGGAATAGTTGGCCCGTGCAGAAAGTCGCGCCACTGCCGATGTGTTTGACTGTTTGCTCCATTGGCAGCGTGTTTGGGTCTTGCAGGCGTCATCGCCACTGACAGACATTGACGTCGGTCCCCGCACACTTTTAATAATGTGCACCCACCAGCCCTCTCTGCAGCGTAAATGGCGTGGGTGTTTTTGCTACCGTGACCCAAAGAAAATAATCAGAGCGGTGTTATTACCGTGTATTTGCTTTCCTCTAGAAGATCCATTCATCTCTGTAGACAAAGCACAATGCAAATTTTCCTGGTAAAAGGGGCCAAACAGGTCATAATAACTGGGCACTCCTCCTGAGTTTCCCTCAAAAATCTCCAGGCTTTGTATCTCATATGCAAAGCTTGGACCTTCAGCAGGTGTTTCATGTAAGTTCTCATGGTCCCTTTCCTATTCGTTGTGATCAGAGCAAAGTCTCAGTGGCTGTAAAGCAATACATTCACTAGAGGGCAGTGCATAGTCGAGTTTCTGACAACGACAAACATGGCGACTGTGGAGAAGGTTGTGATAATGTACTTTGTAAGAAAGACGCAAAAGGGTCTGTTTATCCCTTTGCCCGTGCAAAGTAACATATATAGACGGCAACTTGCAATATCTCTCATCAGAGAGTTAAGCCACTGAAATTTCTTAGTTGTGTCCTATGGTGGTCTCGCTTGAACTATTGGCTACACACTATAGAAACTGCTCTTATGCATATTTTAAATATTCTTTCCACCAGAATAGATGCTTAGGTGTTCAGTTTATTGTGGAAAATAACAATAATTTTCTTATTCACCACTTTAAGACCTCCAGTGAATGGCAGATCGTTTAATTGAATGTTTTTGCATCTCCTTTCCACTGGGCACATTCCTGCTGCGTATAGGAGGTGGGTGATCTGTCCAAGTATTAGTTCCAAGTCTTTTTTTTTTTTTTCATTTTGCACGTTTTCATCCATTCAGCAGGCATAAGACCAATTTTTCCTGCTCTTCATTCTCGCTGACAGATTCTGAGTAGAATACCTCCTCGACAGCAAAAGCAACGTACTCTCCTTTTCACATTCCCTCATTTTTAGACAGTGCAGCTCTCTGACTTCATTCAATCAGCTCTGCGAAGAACACAGAGAGGAGGCTGTCGAGCATAACCAAGAAAAATAAATACACCTCACATACTGTAGATGATCCACATCACATGACAGTGCCAGGCTTACAAATAAACATCTCCCCTTGAGCAAGGTGAGTCCAATACAGTCGAACCGGCACTCAAAGTACAATAGGACCTTGAGAAGCGAGAGAGATAGAGACTTTTGGAGAGGATCTTCCTTATTTTTGGCTGTCCCTCTACATCTGAGGTGCACGTTGCCCTTGCACCCGAAAATTATTCTTCTCATAATATTGATTTTGGACTTTTGGAATTAACAGAGTGGAGGGAACAAATGTGAAGGCCCAGAGCTTAAGAAGGGATTTCATAACTATATGGGATGACTCGGACAACTGAAATATGCACGAGGGGGAGAAGTGGAGAGCTTTTGATTACTTCCCCTGACCATGTGTCTCATTCTGTCACATGCACTCCTGTTTTGTTTTCACCAGCTCTTTGAAATTGTGGCTCTTAGAGACAGTGTTGCCTCTTTGTGTGCTCTCATTTAACAGTTTGAAATGCTGAGTTTGGATTGACTTTGCTGTAAGAGGCAACAACTCGTGTAAGTTGGAGATGAAATAGGAATATTCCCAAAGCCCGATGAGAAAAATAAGGAAGTAAAATAACTCACTTTCAACATGACACATGTGTGAGTGGGTCCTTGTACAACTGTTTAGACAGGTAGTCTAACACATAGCCTGCTGTAAATGGAATTTGTGTCACTGCGCTGTTTTATCTCAACTAGCACAGAGAGAAAGAGTTATAATGTGAAACTGGAAATGACCATACCGCCTATGACAGTTAGCATAAACCGTGTGCCTCCTTTCTTCCTCAAGCCTTGTCTCTTCCTCTGGTGTGTAGAGCTCACGGACGGCCCGCTCGGAAGAAGACAGAGACACGCTGTGGGATGCCTGGGGCTCGTGGAGTGAGTGTTCCCGCACCTGTGGAGGAGGAGCCTCGTACTCCCTGCGACGATGCCTTAGCTCCAAGTAAGGCTTTCCAAACCTGTTGCATACACACGGTAACACATCTAATAATTCCTTGCTTACATATACAAGAATGTGTGCATTTTCAGGTTAGAGACTCATTGACCGTCAGATAAATGGAAGCATTTCATGGTCAATTCGTAAGCCTTTGCTCAAACACTATCCAAGGTAAATTCCTTACTGGGGTAGGACTGGTTTCCATTAAAGCACCACATCATGGCCTTAAGATTCAAGGGAGGGAAGGAGAATGATTTTCTGCTACTCATAGCTGTTCTGCCAAATAAATCCAGACGGCGTCCCTAATAATGTGAATAAATCTCATCAATCGCTTTGTTTCCCATGGGCTGTAACAAGAATGCGTATGTTTTGTGAGGGGTCAACTGTGATCACTTGCACATCCACTCCCTAAGGAAGTCTAGACGGCCGTATGAGCCTGAATCTTTAATTCATTTGTGACAATAGGGATGTGATTTTCAGTGAAGGCCTGATTATGTATCTTCACAAATGAGAGTATAACAATCAATGTCCCGTGCTAAAGTACATGTCACTTTTAATAGCTGTTTTTTGTGGTAGCGCTCTGTACCTTGGTTGAATTCCCACTGCTCATCATCTTGGTTTCATACCGGAACTCATGCTCTGGACCTCTCCGACTTTTCATCCTTGTGCCAAAATACACCAGTTGGTTAGACTTAAAGCTCATCCAGTGGACTTCAAGATTAAAGCTCTGGGCAAAGTGGCCAATTACAAATGGATTTGAAAAAAAAAAATGGAGGAGGATATGTTTTCCATATAGAAATGCTGTCACATTTATAGACTGGGAAATAGCTTGAGGGTGACTTCACTGCATTCCTTTGCTTTACAGTTCCTGGAAAGTATCGCTCACTCGGTAAAAGGTGGCCGGTCACTGAGGGGTGCTTCAGCGGGAGCCACCGTGCAGCAGTGACAGGAAGTGCACATTTCCAAAGACACACTGACCAAACGGAAAAGATCACACTTGCGGTCACAACAGAGATGTAGTCTTAGTTGTCGTCTACAATGAATCCATCTTCACTGGTACATGAGAACCAGACTGAGAAGTATAATGCTGGGGACACACCGGAGGCGGAAGCACCATGAAGCGCTGTGAAGCCCTATGAAATGCTGTCCGCTTCCTTTCGGCGCCCATGTTAATCAATTGGGACGTTCACACCGGCAGTGAAGCACCGCTGCACTGTGTTATAAACACAGAGGACTGTGTTCTGTGGTATCAGCTGCTGCCATTTCTCTTTGCTTGCCCAGAATTCTTTTGGTCAGGCAAACCTTGCTACTGGCTGTAAAAGCAGTTGACGTGTTAAGAGGTGTTTGGGGTTTGAGGTTTATGTGGGATTGTCGGGACTGTATGCATGCGTAAGTTCAGACTGTATGTGTATGTTTACAAACCTGTGTGTCCTTTGGCATTGGCATGTATGGGGTTCTTAAACAAACGGTCAGACCCTCCGTCGCACCTCATCCCACCTCACCCCACTGCTGCGTGGGAACGAGCGAGCGGTAGCCTGGCCCCGGGTGGCAGATCAAACAGCGTCATTAAAAAGCACAGGGCCCCGTGTGTGTGTGTGCGTGTGTGTGACTCCTTGGAAAGAGTGCCTGGAAACGGGCCCGCAACACCCTCCAAACCAATACCACTCCAACTCTCTGACCTTTAATCATACACACACGCATACACACACAGACAGGAAGGACACATTGCTACTGCAAAAATACCGCTTAAGCGGGTACATGCACGGGTACAAGTACAGACTAAACACAGATCGCCTGGCCCTCATTAGTCCCACCCGCACAACACACTTAACTTGATCACAAGATCCATTATGAACAACAGCATAGCCAGGTTGAAGCAAGCGTGGACATATGGATTGAGTGCCATGTCTAGAGAAAGCTATTATTTATGAGGCATGTGGTTGGCAAACAATCAGGATATCAGTCTCTTTTGTCATTTATTATTATAAGAAGAATGTCTCTCTTATTTTATTTAGATTTCCACCATCAGGATATAAAGATAAACAGTATAGTATGTAAGTGTTTCTTGATAAAGGATGTTTTTACTATTCATCGCATCATTAACTTGCAGAAATTACAGGCAGTGACATTAAATGTCTGTGGTGTTTTGGAATTACACCAAATGTATGCCACAGCTGTGTTTAGGGTCTGTGCTAGTTAAAAGGGAATTTTCTCTGAGGCAAATTACCTTGCGACTGGCACCATGATAATGTGTCTGGCATTACAGTGTAGGGGACCACCTTCTGTGTGGCCCGTGTCGTGCCAAAAACACCCCCCCTCCCCCTACGCAGTAGCACGATTACCAGTGGACACAAAATACAGCTGTATCCAAGCAGCATGGTGACGTCATTGTTGCAGTGGTTTTTGAGTTTGGCATTTTGTCCAGAGCCTTCTTGGTTTAAAAAAAAATCCAGAGGTAACTGTATTTGTCGGGGGTGAGCCTCACTGAGAGAACATGCCCATCTGCACCATGTGACCTTCTCTAGTTGTCAATCGCACAGTATTAACACCCCCAACGAACGCATTGCTTTATCGTCTATTTTTCTCTAAATGGGACCATTGTTTACAAAATAAACATCATGCTGCACTGAAGAGTTGAAACTAGAGATTGAGATCATAAACTCCTCAGGAAAATATTTACTGATGTTGTAAATCGAGTGAGAAGTAGGCTCATTACCTCCTAGACTTCTATAGAAACTGACTTTTGAAACCAGTAGAGTCGCCCACTGCTGGACATTAGAGAGAATACATTTTTTGTTCACTTGCGCATCGGTTTCACTTTCAAGACACGGAGTCTACGTCCATTTATATGCAGTCTATAGCTGTATCTCATGGGAATGTCATTAATGTTGAGGATATTTGATGTAGTGAACAAATTTAGCTGATGGCATGGAAAGACAGTGGAAATAGTGATGAATGTCTGAACCAGTTTTAAAGCATAGTTGTTTAGACACGTCTATAAATATAAAAATATAAAATATTAATTATATTAATGTGCAAATGGAAAGCCAAGGTACCAAAGTCACCAAAGTATGGAGGCTTCATCCTCTGGAAAATGAGTGTCCATACAAAATATTCATAATCCATCCAATCTGTGTTGAGATATTTCAATGTAGATCAAAATACTGAACCAACCAAATGAGGGATGAAGCTATTTCCAGAACCATGCCACTATAGCAGAGCAAAACCAGCCACACGGTAATTAAAATCAGAAACAATATTTCTTCTTGAGGGCATAAATGTGCTCTGCAAATTGTGTTGCAGTCTGCTGCTCATTTCTTCAGTTTTCCTAAACTGATCAATAGCAGAGCTCACAGCATGAGCATATTTCAAGCATTACAAAATCAACCCCATTTTCATGCGTCTACTTGCTGCATGAGTATCAATATTTGCAGAGTTCGTGGAGCCATACTAGCAATTACTTTCAATCTAGCAAGAACAGTTGATGACATATATATGGACATTATGAGCATGACAAATTTTTACTGCATACCCACTATAAGAAGTTATTACTTAAACTTTCTTTTTTCATTACAATAGATCTTGCTTCTTTTCTTCTCTGACAATGTTACTGGCATGCAAGATGGTAGTTATACTCGATGTGCAGCCTTGTGTGTTATTAGCTGATCAGCAAATCCAATATAATTGTAACGTTCGCGTGTATTTGGCAGAAAAAATCAGGGTCATATAGTTTGTGAGTTATGTGTTAAGAGCTCCAGGAATTCCGATATTTCAACCAAATCGTTTTTTCCCTAACCTGTGATGATGCCATTATGAATCCCTGCTTCTGCTTAGCCTCCACTTTGTAGCTTCCAAAGTCGAGAGGAAACAAAAAGGGAATTTAGTTTTTTTTTTTGCCTCTGTTTTTCAAACATCTAGATTATATATTGCTCTGCTCAGCTGATTTTCCACACTGATCCAGATCTTTATTACCTGTCTTTTAACTCTTGGTCTTTGAAAGTTGTTTGGGTTCAAGCCCCATGACCTGCTGTTTGGCTTGGCAGAGGAGACTGTCTGAATTTGTCATAGGGTCTAATGTTCCTGCCATGCCACACAGTCCACATTCACTCCTGCCTCGCTTTTATGGAATAATATTGTAAAAACTGTTTTAGTCCTTGTTCGTGCGTGAGTCGAAACTCTGCAACGTTGCCTCCAATCATGATTCCAGATTAGCTGAGGGCCGACGACACTGGAATTCCTAATAAGTTCCAAACTCAAAAGACAATCCTTTGATTAGTTTCCACCGGGGTCTCGGATAATTGGCCTATCGTAGTCACCATCAATGGTTTATCATCACTCGGCATCAAAGCACAAAGCAATCCTAATTTTCAATAAGTGGTTAACTCCACAATTTGGGCAAAGACACTGCAGACTGTCATGGACGGAGTAGTGATCCAAACTGCTCCAATCTGTTCTGCAGACACAGACTGCAGACACGGCTCTGCTGTCTGCTTTACTACTGTATGTGCAGCACTGCTGGTTTATTAAGCAGAGGTTTGTTTAAAGACTAATCACTGTGACAAATGACAGTGTGTTTTAGTGGTTTTAGAGCCTGTATTCCAACTGTTCCCTTTTTTCTCAGGTTTAACTTGAATTTTTAAAAGCCTTTATTATCTTTCCTGATTTGTGACACTCTTCTAGTTTGAAATCAAATGGATTTGGGTTTGTATTTGAAATCCAACATGTTAAAGTCAGATGGTAACCGTGGTAGACGAATGAAAGTCACAGTGTTCGCATGCTATCATTGGCCTGCCCCCAGTTCAGCCTCACAGATGTTTGTGTTTCCATTGCCATTTGTCTGTTAACAGGATTACGTTAAAACTACTGAAACAATTTTATTGAAAATTGGTTGAAGCCAAGGAATAACCCATTAACTTTTAACCATCTAGTTATTCTTGTTGTATTTATATACTTAACATTCTTCTAAAAAAGACACTCCGATTGCATATTTGTCAAAGGAGAACACATTAAACACAATGGTAATTGTGGTAAACATGGAAATAAATGTCTTGTCATAAATCAGGTATCTGTCCAGCATAAACACTGACATTGGCAGGACTAGTAGACCTCATGGGGACCACAGCCTGGTCTTAATGAGGGAAAACTTAATTTCTTAGGTCCTGCATAAGGTTAGTGGTGAGATGTGGATCATGGTCAGGTTGCGGCATTAATTGGTCACGATGAGGGTTCGTGATAAGGTTTTGGTTCAGCTGTCAGCAATGAATAGAAGCTGAGCAAACCTGTCTGTGTGTTATACCACCATCCTGATGCACAGCACAATAATATAATTTGCTATCCCCTCTAATGTACACCTTCTTTATCAATGCACAGTCACAGTGTGTGAGCTTAACTGTTAAATCTCAACTCATCATTCTGCCGAACCATGGCAGCAGGAATCCACCCGCTGCTCAGCAATTCAAAAACATGATGAGAGTCAGTGGTTGGAATACCAGCTGGCAGGTCACTGGTGTTCATTGTGGTTTGTTTTATCATTTACCCCCAAGGCCACTTCACTCATATGTTCATTTTCTTTTTTTCATCTGCAGGACCTGCGAAGGGCAGAATATCAAATATCGCACATGCAGTAATGTGGTAAGTTTAGCACACTCATCTTTATGTAATGGATGTCTGTGGAGCCTTCAAGTGGTTTTCTCTCAAAATGAACCGATACAGCAATTGTGATGGAGGATTCAGTGTGGTGGAACTGTGAAAATATTCCTCAGGCTTATGTTGAAGAGGTATAATTTAGTCATCTTGGTTCCTGTTGTTTGGACGAAAGTGAGAAGTTGTGGTGGGGAAACATCAAACATACATTTTGTTTTCATTTAATCCTGTAATCTGGTAATTACATGCAGCAGCCAAAAATTCAACCACTGAGATGTGTGGAATTAACAATCTTCTCCCCACATATGTCTACACTTTATCCATGAGTGATTTACACAGATTCTATCTCAAATATTCTTGTCCGTGTTACGCTCAGGACTGCCCTCCAGAAGCTGGTGATTTCCGTGCCCAGCAGTGTTCAGCTCACGCAGACGTGCGACACCAGGGTCAGTACCATGAGTGGCTGCCTGTGTACAACGACCCGGACAACCCCTGTGCTCTCAAGTGCAAAGCCAAAGGTTCGGGCCTTGTGGTGGAGCTGGCGCCCAAGGTTCTGGACGGGACTCGCTGTTACACCGAGTCCTTGGACATGTGTATCAGTGGAGTCTGCCAGGTAGGAGACTGACTCCGAGACTTTTAATGTTTTTCGCCACTGAAGAGTCGATTTCTTTTCATGTATCTATTGTGGTAATCACAAGAACCCAAAATACTTAATTGTAGACTCACAATATTGTGAGAGAGGTGACCTGTTCGTAGCTCTGTGTGTCAGTGTTTAGACCTTTGCACAGTTTTTTTGGGATCCCAAGAGAAACTTCTCAGAAACCAAAACATCTGATTTAGGTCAATTGCTTTTAAGAAAATCTGAAAAATGTATTTTTCAGACACTTGGATACCAGTGAGTTGGGAGCAGCCACAGGCTTCTTGGAGAACTTGAGCACAAATATGCAGTGCATTTTAAGAAAATCTGACAAATGTAGTGCATATTTGTGCAAAGTATTTGTGCTGCTGCATAAAATAAAAACTTCAGTGAAACATCTGACTAGTATTTAGTTTAATTTGATTAAGAATGGAAAGGCACTTGGGGAACTTTGGGTTAAACCCTAACCCAAAATTGTATTTACCTCCACTAAGGAGGTTATGTTTTTTTGGTTGTTGGCAGGATTACTCAAAAACCTCCATGATATTTTTGCAGAGGTGGGGCATGATCAACAGAAGAACCCATTACATTTTGGAGTAGATAAGCATCAGGAGTTGGATCCTTTAACACTGCAAAATTGAGCATTTTCCTACAATTTTGTGCATTTCTGATGAAATAATGCAGATCGTTAGTTAATTAGCACTAATATCTATGAACAGGGGACATTTTGTGTGGATCTGGGTAATGATTCAAGGTTTTTTGACTCAAAATAAATATTTTTAGGGGACTGATCTTTGTTGAGTTACTGTGCTGTAATAAAATCTCTTCAGCTGTCAGACAATGGATATTTTGCCTGCGCTTTATGTAAACAGTAATTCACTGGTTCACAAGTTGCAGCTTGACAGTGCATTTGGCTGCAAGAAAACTGATGCATCGTATATAGGCTGACTGAACATCATGCCATCTGCTTTACAAATGAATATCCAATGAGAAGAACAGTTGAGACTGGGCTTTTGACTGGCAGTCCAGGAAATAGTTCAGAATTTTAATGCACTCTCCTACATGCTTAAAATCACACTGGGGTTTTTGGTTTTCCTCACCGATGGAGACTTCGGAAAAACTGCATCAATCAAATATGGATGGTTGAAGATATTATTTAACAGAAAACAGTGGGGGAACTTTTTTATTTTTGTAAAAAGCATGATCAGTTCACAGTGGATGTTTCATGCTATCTTAATAATGCAAACAATAGCAGTGGCATGAGTGTGGAAGAATCCAGAGCGTTTGGTTTGTTTGGATCATTTGATGACAACATTTACATGGCATGAGGAGAGACATTCTATTTAAATCTAAATTGAAGGTTTAACAGAACCAAGATGTGTTCTTTTACTGGGACTTGTTTTCTTTTTTCCTTTTATTTCTTCTGTTCCTTACATATTTTTGCACATGAACCTAATGTACATTTACTGCCGAATGCTTAAGCTCTCAGAAAAAAGTGTCAGGTAATCATGTCGCTGTAAAGTCTTGGATTAATCTTTTTTTCTTGTTGTTGTTCCTTATTTTTCTTTGTGTTTCAGATTGTAGGTTGTGATCATGAGCTGGGGAGCACAACAAAGGAGGACAACTGTGGTGTCTGCAATGGAGACGGCTCATCCTGCCGACTTGTGCGAGGACACTACAAATCCCAGCATGCTTCAGGAAAAAGTAAAGCGTCTTCACTCAAGGCAGTCGTTTGTTCAGATTTAAATAATAAATTCTTTAAATAATTCATCCTTAATGAAGCTGACAGTTTGACGGATACAAATGCTGCCATATTGCTCATTTGGTGCCAGATTTGGGGCATAGAGCTGTGGTAGCGTGGTCCTGCTGATACATGTGCTCTACCTAGTGCGAATCAGCCCCAGCTGTCATGACGATTTTGTCCCATCAAGTAACTAAATTAAAACCAAACTTACTGGAAAAATAAACACTTGAACAAACATCAGTATGATAAGAATGTCCTAAAATGACACATTTGACTTTTACTCATACCGACTTTTTATAATTTGGTCCATGTCACTTTAGGTAAGTGCAAGACTCGATCGATAGTTTAAAATAATGTAATTATATTGCTGAAGTTGAATTACATTATTCTCTCTCTCACACACACACATTGCCTCGTGTATTTACAGTGAAGTGTATTAGATATTGATTTAGATACTCCTTCATGCCATCTCTCTCTCTCACTGTCTGTTTGTCACACCCAAGCTGAGGACACGGTCGTCGTCATCCCCTACAAGAGTCGTCATGTGCGTCTGGTTCTGAAAGGCCCGGATCACTTGTGTAAGTCCTGGTAGGTCTAGGGTGCCCTTCCATCCAAAACCGTTGAACATGATATCGATATTTGGCAGAGTATTTTTTTATTAAAATGCCAAATATTGCACTTTTCAACCCAAGTGTCCTGCATGTGCTGTTTGAATTATACTGCAGGTCGTGCTATATTGTAGTGTGGTTCAAGAAACAACAATTTCTTGATAAATATTGTACTTTCTGACCTTTCTAGTAAAAAAAAAAAGTATCACCCAAATAACAAGCTATAATTAACATTACATTTTCTGCCTCTCTCATTAAGACTGTTTTTTAAAGGTGACTCAGAATAGCCAGAAGAGGTATTTATTTCTTCCCTGTGCTCTGGCTCTGAGAAGATGTAAGACTTCCAGCAAATATCACTGATGTCAAAGCACCGGCACCAAACTCCCCGCTGAATCAAATCGATAACAAATGCTCCATCTCTGCACCTATCCCTCGCTTCGATGGTCATTTCCTGAGCTCGGTTTAAAGTGCTTCTCTCTCTCAATTTTTTCATTAAATATTTCCCCATTTCTTTGTTGGCCGCGGGCACTTAAATTGTAACCATCTGTCGGCAGACGCTGAATGCCGCTGGTTACCGCTTGTTCCTGTGTTTCCCCCCCCCTGTTTTTGTTTAAACGTCTTTGCTGGAATCACACAAGACCTTGTTAGGCCAAGGTTGACGTGAGGTCAAACAATGGAAAAGCTCAGTGCAGCGCTGGCCTGCTCGCAGAACTACATGAGGGAGTGCCAAGCGAGAGTCTTTGCCTCGTAACACAACAGACACACTGTGTTCTTTGTGTGTAACTGGACTGAAGACCTCAGATGAATGAAAGTATCTCACATTTTAATCACTTTTTCACACTTATTTTTAGTTTCATTTTGTGTTAAGATGAAAAGGCGAGAATTGACTGTGTTGCTGAAAATGAAAGCGAAACTCAATTCTCATGTTGGTGGATTTTGTGGCCTTAAGTTTCTTTTCCATTTCCTCTCTCTGGCCATGATGAGTCCATAGTGCTCTCACCTCCTCCTCTGTTTCCTCTTTAGATGTGGAGAGTAAGACGCTGCAAGGGGTCAAAGCTGAACTGGTCTTTGACGCAGCAGGGCAGTACCATCTGGAGAACACCACCCTGGACTACCAGAAACTCTCTGACAAGGAGATCCTGAGAGTCACTGGCCCACTTGGAGCTGACTTCACTGTCAAAGTAAGAGCTCAAATGCATCAATCCCAGTGACCCCAGTTAAGATAATTAATATTTTTTTATAATTAACAAACCAATTTACTACATAACATGAAACAAGTTTTGTTTTTTTAAGTGATGAATCCACAAAATGATCAGCATACTGCATTTTCCTCAGCTCTATCCAACACTTTTCCAATTATCGTTTCCATTAGCTCATAGTTTATGGCTTTCATTCACTGTCTCAGCTCAGCATGTGTGCAGGTGAGCATCATATTGTTATTATTGCTAACTAATTCAAAAATAATTACTTAGCAGCATCGACAAGATCGAAAAGACGAGGACAGTGCTCTTTACCCTAACCCTAAAATCAAGTCTTAAACTTCAAAAATCCAATTTAATTTGTGAGCACCAGCCAAAATGTCCTCACAATGATGGTATTGAACCGAAATTGGCCCTCAGAATTATAGAATTCTGCTCATAACTGCTGGATGTGTTAATAAGCAAAAGAATGCTGCCAAAAAAGTGGCCAAAAAATCATTTATTGCATGTTTAAAATCATTTCTGGAAAGTTTTACAATGTCATCACTGCAGCAACTGAAACCAGCAACCTTCAGACTGCCTCCTTATGGGCTTTGCTTGCAAATGATCCCAATCAGCTTCAGTCCACTCCATAGCTGACATCACAGGGACATTTTTCTTTTCTTTTCCGCAGTTTATACCAAAACCTGTAGTTTTTGCAACGCAAAGCTCTGAAAATGGTGTGGCCCCAGCCAAACTCTACTCTGATAAGTTTCCATGAACTCCCGCTGAACTCACTGTGGGTCTTGCGGAGGTCAGAGCAGATTCGATTTTGGATGTGTAGATTTAAAGATATCAAATTGTATGAGCGCGCCACTTAAATATGAAATGCAAATGAGGATCTATGTATTTTTGGAAGCAGTGTGTCATGCAGTGATAACAATAGTAGCTCACAGAACTGGTGCTCCAAATCCAGTGGTTGACTTTAGATGTATTAATGCCAAAATAAATGTCTAACTGTCAGCTAATAGTTGATGAAGCTTGGATTTGAATCACGATTCAACGTCGAGCCTCAAAGAAATATTATCATAGGACTGCTTATCAAATGTCACATTTTAGTTTTGTGAAATAACAATTCAGTCATTCAGTAGTGGAGCAATGGATCTTTTTCTGTTACGACGCCATGACACAATGATTACAACATCATTTTTGGCTATGTTGCTCACACACACACACACACACACACACACACACACACACACACACACACACACACTCACAAACACACTCACACACTCACACTCACACACTCACACACACATATTCTCAGACTGGGGCCGGAGAGTGGACATTAAAATGATCCAGACCATGTACTGTGAAAACTTCCCCCTCATAAACATGAGTCGGGCTCGGACAATAAATAGGAACTGGGGAGACAGAAATCTGAGAGGAAATATTGTGAATGTGTAATTTTCTAATCTGATGACAGTCAGCTCAAGTTGCAACGCTGGAAAAAAGTTTGGACAAATGGAAAATCACATTAGAAAAGCTCCCTGGCAGTATTTCCACTGTAAACACATGAATGTAACAATGAGGTCTTGTTGTAATAATCTGTCGTTGGGCCACAATATGTTTGAGGTGTGAGGGTAGAAGAAAAAAAAAGTGTTTATGAAACACAATATCTTCTGTTTTCATTATTTCAATAAAACATAAAGAAATCTTCAACGCTCATCCAGGAAATTATTAATCACTGTGTCCATCCAGCAGCTGTTTGACCTTTCAATGAGCAGAAATGAACATATCCGGTTACTCAGCATCAAATTCCTCCGATGTCTCTGAGTGGAAAAAGAACATCTCTTCACAGACTCCAGTATGTTTCAGTCATCTGCTGGTTTTGTTAAAGCTGTTATACTTTCCTCTGCCTCAGCCCTTTTCCCTCCAGTCTCGCGTCTTGACTGATTTTTTTTTTGCGAGGATTTGTGACATCGACTGCTGAATAACCAGCATCGGTTGTACGAGGAGAGAAATCAGTCTTTTTGAACACAACACAGAAATACAAATCATAAGAAAGAAAAAAAATCACTAATAACAATTGATGGCTTTTTGATTTTATTTTCATTCTTGGGCTTTTACTATTACAGTTATGTCCGGTGAAAAATGGTCACAATTTATTTTCTGTCAATCAACTAATCTATTAGTTGACTTATCATGTTGGCTCTATGATATTTATCTAAATAGCTCAATATATCTCTTAAATTGTGATGCCCTGAACACTGTTGGTGTAGGTCCAGTTGTCCAGTGGAGCAGACAGCGTGATCCAGTACATCTACTACCAGCCGATCATCCACCGCTGGAGAGAGACCGACTTCTTCCCCTGCTCCGTCACATGTGGTGGAGGTAAGCACACAGTTGAACTGCTGGCATCAGAACTTTTAAACTTAATGTCATTTTAATCAGTTGCAGATTTGCAAAACGTACTGCTGGTTACTCCCAGGTCTCATCTTATAAATCCCTAGCTTCTTTCGAATCCCATTTAAAATAAAAAATGTTACAAAGGTTTTTAGAGATGATTGACATTGGCTCTTATCTACACTGACTAATCCTATTTATCAATTTATAGAATTCTATTTCATTGTTCTATTTACTCTGCTCATGTTCCATTGTTTCTTCCTCTTAAAGCACATTGCAAAGAAAAGTGCTACAAACAAATGTATAATTTATTATTATAAAATGGACTTGATTCCTGAAAGTTGCCAACTATATAGATTTTTAGTCACCTGATTGACAGCTAAGCAGCACAGTGGTGCAGTGGGTTCGAACGTGAATCTGACCCAGGCCTTCGTTGCTTTGAATGCATGTTCTCCCTGTGCCTGTGTGGGTTTTTCTCCTGTTACTGTACTATACGTTCCCCGATGGGACATGTGACATTTCCTCTTTTGTAGGTTACCAGCTCACCTCTGCAGAGTGCTTTGACCTACGCAGCGACCGAGTGGTTGTGGATCAATACTGCCATTATTACCCAGAGAACGTCAAACCCAAACCCAAACTGCAGGAATGCAACATGGACCCTTGCCTGGCCAGGTTAGAGAGTAAAAAGTACAGACGTCTGTGTCAAAGATCTGTCTGTTGCAAACCCTCATTTCTTCAAATTTGATTCTACCTTTTAGTGATGGGTACAAGCAAATTATGCCGTATGACCTCTACCACCCCCTGCCCCGGTATGTACTCAACTCCAGTGAGATGAACACAAATTCTCCCAGAATGCATCAATCTCTTCATGACATGTTAACTTTTTACAACGTTAGATGGGAGAGCAGTCCCTGGACTGCCTGCTCAACTTCGTGCGGCGGGGGCATCCAGAGTCGCTCAGTGTCCTGTGTAGAGGAAGACATGCAGGGAACCATCACTCTCACAGAGGAGTGGAAGTGCCTCTACTCCCCGAAAACGGCCATCCTGCAGCCCTGCAACACCTTCGACTGTCCCACCTGGCTAGCACAGGAGTGGTCACCCGTAGGTCACTCTGTTTTAGAATTTTTTCCACATCCCTGGCTTTTATAAGTTGCTGTAAAGCATCGCAAAAGCTGTGTCTCAATTCAGGGGCTGCATGCTTCAGAGGACGCGGTCTACCCAGCATCACCAGCTGGCCTCGCCTTTATTGCTGTTACCAAGCAACAAAGGTGAATTTGCAAATGCCGAGAAAGTTTCAATGCCACTTGTTTTTTTTAAACATGCATATCGTTAGCTGTGTGGTCTTCATTTCTCGAGGATGGAAGGACGCATTTGAAGGAGCCTTTAAAATTGGACAGCCTAGTTACGCTGCTGTGATGCAATCGGTTCTCTAATGAGGCCTCCTTAGGATGCAGCCCTTGAAGTTCAGCAAAAAGTGCCTCTTAACTGAAATAAAGAGATGTTTCTTTGTGACCTGGGACTGTTTCCCCCTGAAAGTCTGCAGGTCGCTTTTTAAAAACATCCAAATATGCATACCTGTGATTTTCTCGTCGAGTAGCGTCCTCAAGATGCTCGAACCTCCTGCAGCTGCCAAGTCAAAACACGCCTCGCTGTGTGATTAAGAGAAGCACTGCAAACACCACCACAAGTCTCCTTCACCCGTCTCCTTTGAACACACCATCCAAAACATACAAAGCTTTAATAAAAACCCTTAAGTCAAGCAGCACGCACGCAGTTCTTAAACTTTCTTTAGGCCATTCACATCCAGGCTATTAGGATGGTGCATGTGCATCAATCTGACCTTCCTGGTTCATTTACACTTGTAATGGAGTTTCAGTCACATTCACCATAAAAGGCCCCACAGGACTTCCTCATGGGGATTTTTCAACCTCAGCACTCATACAGGCACAAGTAGAGGCACGGAGAGTCAGATTTGCAGCCTCTTAAAAACCTGGGATGCTGTTTATCCAGCACATTCTTCCTCTGCGTTTTAAATGCTTGTTTTGGCAGAGGGTGGGCAAAGTGGACTCCTGAGCAGTGAGCTTTGAAAGGTCTCTTTATTTAAGTTAAAAGCTAAGGGCTTTCTGAAGTAAAGTGGTCCTAGGATCAGGCCTCGACATGTTAACCTGTCTGCGTATGGCAATTATCATCAGTGGATAGGTTTTTAATAGATTATGTCGGCTGTCGTCATCAGTGCACGGTGACCTGTGGACAGGGTCTGCGCTACAGAGTGGTGCTATGCATTGATCACAGGGGGCTCCACGCTGGAGGCTGCAACCCCACTACCAAACCCCACATCAAGGAGGAGTGCCTGGTGACCGTGCCCTGCTACAAGTCCATAGGTGAGCCGTTTTTGTCACGTCCGAACCTCCAAACTTTGCTGACTTGTGAAAGAAAGTTGGATTTCCATTGTCCTTTCTGGGTTATTTTCTCCAGATACGCTCCCAGTTGAGGCGAAACCTGTGTGGCATAAGCAGGCGATAGAGCTGGAGGAGGAGATCACAGTGACGGAGGAGCCAACGTAAGTAACTTTTCTCATCCCTGTTAGTCCCTTCCTTGTGTCCAATACATGTCAGAAGCAATTACTTTTATATTTTACTTGACTGCTCTTAAACCACAAGCGGTTTTTACAAACCCCCAGTTTTTATGCTTCCACACTGGTGTCAGCCAGGGGCTGGATGTTTTTGGGTTGTCCGTCCAGCCTATTCTTCTGGTAAAAATATTCAAATGTTCAAGTTTACTGTGACCTTACAAAACACATTTGTGGTCTTGTGAATGCAGCATCTCAGGAACAGCTTGAGGGATTTTCCCAACGTTCACTTGAACGATTAATTTTGGGGCTCGGAGGTCAAAGGTCAAGGTCACAGTGACCTCATGTTCTTGTGAACAATCAGGAACACCCTTATAGAAGGTGAAAGGTCACTTTGACCCCCTCAAAAACGCATTATCTAACAGATGCAGAGAGAAAATCCTTTCAAATTAGGCACAAATGTTCATTTGGACTCTTGGATGAACTGATTAGATTTGGGAAGTTCAAGATCACGTTGGTCACGTTGGCCTCACAAAACATGTTTTTGGCTTCTTGAACAACATGATGTCTCAAATCTGAAGAGAATTTTTCTTATTATAACCAATTATCGCTTGGACTTAAAGATAAACTGATTTGATTTCAGTGGTCAAAGGTCAAAGTGAAAAAAAACTATGTTGTCTAAAACTACACTGGTTGGTGGAGACATTCTACCACTGGGCAGTAATTCTAAAGTAATAGTGTGTGTTCAGTAATTCCGAACACACACACACACACACACACACACACACACACACACACACACACACACACTTGTCACCCAGATCCAATGCCGTGTTGAACCTCAGTTTACTGTCAGAGGTGCTAAACCTTTACAAGCCTCCTACGGTTCACTACCCAGAAAACCCGGGAGAAAAAAAAATCACAGCATTCATTTCCCCTTTTCAAGGAATTACTGTCGCTCTTCAGGGTAAGGAGGCAAAAGTCAGGTCCCAGGTACACTGTTTCAACAACAGTTTTCACAGTGCACAGTTCAAAAGTAACCTGGAGGTGAAATTGAAGGAGACAGGAGCCGGTGCTGCCAAGAAAACCGTGGCTGCATCGTGGTCGTGTTCATGTCAGGTGCTATTTTCGTCAGCTTGGCCGTCAAAATGAGCAGCTGTAGCTCCCCATTTTTTGTAGCTCCCCATGACGCCTTTCAAAACATGCACAGGTTTGTCTCATTTCACAACTGTGCGAAGCAAATGATTGTCAGACGTGGTGGCGGATCATCGTCAAGACGCGCACAGAAGAATCCAGCCCTGCTGAAGACAGATGTTTGATGATACTTCAGTAAACATGTGCATTGTCAGGTCTGAGTGATGAGTTTGTTGCATTAGGTCATTTAAGGTGAAAGGGGATTTGAATTTGAAAGAGAAAAAAAGCATCTTCTTGGAAACAATCTGACAGTTCAGTCACCAGCTATACCAGCATTACCTCAGCAAGCCCTCAGATGTTCCAGATGTGCTTGTCCCACACATCAGTTGACTAATACAGACTGTCCTCTAAAGACAGACAATGCTTGGACTCTACCCAATGTCTTGCATGACTTGTATTAGTGACCATGTTTGCCAGTTCAAAAACATCTGTTGCTTTGACTTGTCTTTGGAGCGCGAGGCGGGACGAGAAAGGGAGCGAAACGTCAAAACATGCAAGTTTGCTTGAATGCAGAAAAAAAAACATGTCTGTCCTCCAATAGCACATAAATATCTGTGTATAATACGCAGGTCATTCACAAGCCAACAACAATATCTGCCTACCATATGGGGCCAGGTTACGGATGTGAGAGGAAGGAGGAGGAAATTCCTGTGTCAGAATTACACTTCCATTTCCAGAACTTATGCCTACCCTCAACCACCACTGTGCAACTGCTTGAAAAATTAAACCCATATATGCTCCACGGCTTTGCCAAGGTTTTTTTTCTTTTGTTCACATCACCTCTGCCATGTGTAAATAAAACATTTCCGTTGATGGAAATTTAATTGATGTGATTAGGACGGAGCTTTGGCAGATATTACAAAAAACATTGCGTTGCATTGTTCCCTTCCATGAATGAAATCAAGATTGTTTTTGAACTGACAGATGTACTTTAACTACGCATGAAGATAAACATTTCTGCGGGTTCGCCTGTTGACTTTGTTGTTCCTGTTCCAAGGTCTAACTGTCGGTGATTCATTTGTTTGTCCAAAACACGGCGGGTCCTTCGGCTCTCGTTAAAAGGGCCGAGTCGTGCTGTAATTATGAGCTCTTTATTGAGGCATCTTATAAAACAGTGGGGAGCTCTTGTGTTGTGGTCACGCTGCGCAGCCAAGGAAAAATGCTGCTCGTTGGTTACCTTTAAGGTTTATATGTACACTGAAAGCAGCTGTACAACACTGATGTGGTACTTTTATTAAGTGCAGTCACTTACTGGAACATTTGTACTCTGGTAAAGATGATTGACACGCTCAGCGACACAGAATGAGATTAGCAAACAATACAGACTGATAAATAGAATATAAAGCTCCGCAACTCTTCATCTGCATCAGAATGATCATAACATCATGTGGACTTTTTTGATCAGCAGGGCTCTTTAGTAAGATACTGATTTGCATCATAACCAGGGTAATTCAGCAGAATTAATTCAGCCTGTGGATTATATATATATATATTTCTTTTAAATGATCTTAGCCAAACAGAACCAAATGAAGCATGCTCAGCCTTAAACAGGACCGCTGCTGGAGTGTAAACATCAGGGCTGCCCTCTAACACCCTCACTTATCCACATGTGTTCAGCTGTTAAACATAGTGTTGGATCTGCACCACTGTGGGCAACCATCTATTCAAAGCCATTCAGACTTAATCATGAATAACGGATAAATATTATGAGATTATCTGATGCACGTCGTGTTACAAATCTTCTTTGTATTTCAGTATTTTCACATGAGAATTCCTCCAGTGCTCCATCATTGCATGAGCAGTTAATGAACTAAAGAATGACATCAAATAGCTGCTGTGATCCCCTCAGACACCAGGTCCACACATCAACCATAATGGAAATTCTGGAGAACACGGCTTGATGTCGACTTCCCTCCATTTTGATCCTTCAAAGAACTGAGCGTTTTTCTTGTGATTTTTTTTTTTTAATATGCATTCTCGAGACAGTTAGAATCCCACTGAGAGTGTCAATTAAATCTGAAGATAAACTCGGATTTTATACGTCTCTCCGTCTCACACGTTCAGGGTTTATTATTCTTTTGCGCTCTGCCAAAGGGTGACAGTTCTCAGGCTCTGGGTCTTAATTCTCACCCAACCTTGACGAGCCCTCGGGCGTTCATGAGCACCAATGATCTTCAAGTATTTCCCTCACTGATCCGTTCTTTAAGATGAGGAAGGATGCCCACAAAAGCTGTTTATCCAAGAACGGCTGGTCCTAAGTCCTCACAGCTGTTTAATTAACCGCAGCAGGATGAAAACAAAATCCTGAGTGAGTTTATGAACTTAGAAGGAGATGACTGAATTCTATATATGGGGAAATACTTCCTGAATGAACAGCATGCTGTTTGTTTTCATTTGTCTGTGATGGATCGTGCTCTGTTTTGCTTTCTCAAACAACTCGCCTCATATTCCTCAGCTTCATCCCTGCTCCCTGGGAGCCCTGCAGCAGGACGTGCGGCGCGGGAACCCAGCGACGCACGGTCAAGTGCCAGGTGCTGCTCTCCTTCTCCCAGACTGTGGCGGACCTGCCCGATGACGAGTGCGACGGGCCCAAACCTGTGGCAAGCCAGCCCTGCTACCGTAACCCCTGCTCTGGTGTCGCGGGCCAAGCAAAAGAAAGCAAAAGGGAAGGGGAAGAAGAAGAGGAGGAGGAGGAGGAGGAGAAACCTGAAAGAGAGGAATTGCACGACTGGGAATATGAAGGATTTACGGAGTGCTCGGAGAGTTGTGGGGGAGGTATGGATCGTTACTGCCCTCTTTAATGAAAAAGAAAGAGAACTACAGGCATGCTTCTCTGAGGTCAAGCTTAGACAAAATGTCTAGTGCTCAAACAATCACAAAGACAATACTTACATGCTAATGTTTAGCAGAATGAGTGTTTTCCAGATTAACCATTTTAATTGAGCATGTAAACTTTCTACCATTTAATGAATTAGAGCAGCTGAGATGCCAAGGTGGTTATATTTTTGTCTATGTTTGTTTGTCTGGATTACACAAAAACTACTGAATGGATTACCATGACACTTGGAGGGATGTGGTATGGGTCAGGAAAGAACCCATTCAATGTTGGTGCAGATCTGAGCTGGATTTCTTTTTTCTTTTTTTTTACTGTCTTTAAAATTACAAGAGGTTTTCAACGTTTTTCTAATCTTGTCATCACTAGAGGCCTGGGGCTAGGGCGCAACCAAACACATTATCTAATGGCCCTCAGTCGAGAGCAAACCTCTTCCAAGGCCCAAATAAAAACCTTAAATTCAGTCATGCTGCACCAAATTACACACGCATATCAGTCCCAACATGCCTGAATTATTCTCTGAGAAATCAATGAATGAATGTTGCAAAACGTTTAAGAAAGTAAAAAATAAAAATCCTGGATCTGCATCCTGATTATGTTCCGCACCAAAATTTAATAGATTCTTCCTTGAGTCCACAAAATGTCATGGAAATGAAACAAATGTACATGTTAACATAACCTCCTTTGCAGAGTTTATAAATCAAAGGGATCTTACATTGTAGTGGTTTGACCATGTTGGAGCCAATATATTTTTTTACAACACAAACTAATTAATTGCAAAGCAGTAGAATTAAAATAATTTGATTAAAATAAAAGACTGAGTGGTCCAACAGTTAAACCAGAAAAGAAAGAAACTTTTATATTCTTAATAGTTCAATCCAGTTCCATGTAGTTCCGTTTTTTAAATACAAATGTACTCCACTTCAGGACTTCCTGGTTATCCAACAAATCCAAAACTCAAAACATGGAAGTCCTCCCAACCACAGTTCAGTTCAGTTCACTCACACACAAAAATCCACAAACCCCGAAGGCTTTGCTCCAGAAGGGGAAACAAAATAAATGGAAAAGATATATATTGTAGCTCATCCATATTATTATATTATTGTTAATATGATGAAATACTGTAATTTCTTCATTGTTCACTGACCTCCACACACCCATCAGTGATATGGATATAATATACTCCCCTGCTACGTCCTGTATTGATGTGTAGGCGAGAAAAAAGAAGATTGACCTCCACTTCCTAAACCTACTCAGCCTTCACCGAAACCAACCCCTTCTTGACTTAAGCTGTGGGTAATGTGTATTCTGAATTAGAGAGTGGATACCTCAGCTAAGTCCATGGGGAATCGATTTGGACAAAATTTTGTAGATGATACTTGGGTTCGGATCAGGTTGGATCACGTTGGCTTGGCTATCTACTTGGTTTTGTACACTGCACGTGCCTGTAATCGGAGAAAACTTGGGAGACAAATAACAGAATGCCTGTCGGTTTGGATCGAGCTCGCCTACTTTTCAGGCTTGGTCAGGTTCAGAGAGAAAATTCGACTTTGAATGCATGTGTCCGTTATTGGGTTTTAAACTCGATCAAACTGCTTCATCATATACAAACTACAAATCTGTGTCTTGGATTAAATTCAGTGTAAATCCTAAAAGCCAAACCTCACTCTCTTACTGTCATTGCATTTGTCCCAGTTGTTATTTCAAAAAGAATGCGAAGAGTCACAGCCGTGACCAGCGACATTATGTCAGTAGATGACTAAAGCGCTTCCATTATGGGCTTTGAAGTGAGTTATGTGATGTTAGATGATAATAGACAGAACACCACGTATTTAACCCTAAAGGTTATACATCGCCGACTCTTACAGCAGCAATGAATGCTGCCGCAGACAGAGACAGCTTTCCTAAACATTCTGCCAACATTCGTCAAAGCCCACTTTAATCTCCCCACCTCCACATCCAAACACATGCCCTCATTGTGCATTTGTGTGTTACTGTCTGCTTGAGAGTGTGCATGTGTAACTTAACTTCTGCACATGGGTGTAGGCCTTTGTCTGTGTATGCGCACTCGCCCAAACCCAACAAACTCACATCCAGGGATGATTAGAGACCGGTATCGGATGTCACGCGCACACCCTGAGGGCTGCGCTCCTGTGGACCATCACACCACTGTGGCGTTTGAAGTGCCTGCCTCACTGTTATTGTCCCCAACATTAGAAGCAGACTCCAAGATTCATATTACGCTGCTTTTAACATGACCTGCTATCACACCCTCTAAGTTTATGCACAGTTCAGTGTAGCAGGCAGTCGTGCTGTTTTGATATTCATCGTGCCCCATTAGATACAACCGCTGTTTGCTTTCATTGTGGGGCCTAATATCTGGGCTGCTTCAGCACAGTGTCTGCTTGCAATATTCTGTGCTCCATGTGCGTGTGAATGTGATAATATGTGAGCGTGTGATGCTTAACCAGAACAGCATGTGTTTGCATTCTTGTGACTCTTCATAAGAACGAATGGGACAGCGAGCATGTGAATATCACTTTTAAAAATTTAAAACACTTTTAAAAAGAACCCTGCATAATAGCTCTTGTTTGGTCATCTTCTTCGGGCTGTCTAATTCCAGGTGTGCAGGAGGCTGTGGTGATCTGTCTGAACAAGCAGACCAGGGAGGCAGCAGACCAGAGCCTGTGCGTGAGCGCCCGTCGCCCCCCGCAACTCCTGCAGGACTGCAGGACTCAGCCCTGCCCACCCAGGTACGGCACAACAGACCCACATTATTATCTGTTGCACATTGTTTGAAAAGGTGTATGCATTAATATAAAAATTGAGTTGATGGATGGATGCAGCATAAACAGAGGAAATTTTTTTTTTTGAAAAGCAATTTTCCTACATTTAAGTAGACAAAATTAATTAAAGCCAGGGCTAAAACCGGGCTGTGCTCTCTATTCGTTTTCCAAGAATGTAACCCAACAAAATATGAGAAGCAGGGACAATCACGTACCCTGTGTCCGACACCTGCAACTACTTAATTCTGAGACTATCAAACAACACACATGTCACTCTGGTTCAGTCAGTGAATCTCTCCTAATCACTGGTTCTGTACAAAAGAGATTGAAGTCCTTCTTATCTGCAACATCCCCCCCTTGTAGCTAAAAAAAACACTTGTGCCAATTAAGTCACAGTTCAAACCACTTCAGTCGGAGTGTCACTGAGGCAGAGTGGCAGAGATGGATTGTTGTCGCATAGGGCAGGAAATGAAGCCAGTGGAACCAGGGTAGATTTAGACATAGGAGGAGTCAGATGTCGATGTGATATTGTCCTTGGAGGAACTTTAGGAGAGTGTATCGATTTTTACTAACAGCATGATTATAAGTGATCACACTTTATCATCTTGGGAGAGTGAGTACTTTACTTGAACTCGAGTCCATCTGCACATAATATTGTAAGATATCTTGGCAATGATATAGCAGGAAAGAAAAAGAAGCTGTTTCTAAATGAAATATGGTTAAGACTCATTTTTGCTGCTTTTACATACCTACTACCACACATCCTTTACATTGGCATGGTTATTAAGCAATACACACACTAGAGGGCAGTGCAGAGTCAAGAATAATAAGTGCTAATAATGTGTCTCTTGAGAATGAGGCAAAAGCGGCTGTTTGCATGGGTGAAGTAACATAAAGATGTCTTTATTTTCTTAGCAACTCACAAAGTCTCTCCTCAAAAAGTTTTGCCACCGTTAAAATGTCGTTGTGTCTAAACTATTGGCTACACTGCCCCCCACATAATTCCCAGTGGTCCTGCCTAGTTTCATCTGTTTCATCTGTATCTCTAAGCTTAAAGAAGACATGCACAAACACGGACAAAATGAAAATGGAATATGAACAGAGGGCTTCTGTATACAAATGTAACATTGAGCATGAATGAGCCTTGGGTTTTTGTATTGATTTGAATTTTTTGGTTCACTTTTTTGCCTCGCAGTTTCAGCCTCTTGCCTGTAGGGGTGCTGCAATGTTTTGCTTTTTTTTTGGACCAATCGTCCAGTGAAAATCAATTTGGAATACAGTGCAATCTTGGAATGCCATATGTGACCTTGCAAATATTAACCTCTTTTCATAAACCAAACTCACAGCACTCATCATAATTAAATACCAGAATAATATAACAGTGTAATGGCTTGTTGTTTGAAACATCTAAGCCATAGCTGAACGCTGAGTCGATTTCGCGGTAAGCCATACATTTCAAGTTAAGACCACGCAAGGAATTCCACCATTCACTCTCATCAAAAAAACCAGAGGCTTGCAGCCTGCCCTTGACTGTTTTTCCAGGCCTTGAGTCTTGTTTTTAGGCACAACAAACGCTGCATTGGACTTGTTTCCTTTGGCCCTTTGCTCCCTCCCTGAGGCCTCCTCACCATCCCATATTAAGCTACACTCTTTGGATACTGTTCCCTCTGAAGGGAAAGATTTAGCTTTGGGTATAGCACCACTCCAGTAGCATCATTCCCAATCCTCCCCGGCCCTGGACCCTTGAGTCAATATGAATAGTTTTGAATCTCAGTCAAGCAAAAAAATACAATAGCCACCATGTCCAAAGCCTTTTCAAGATTGGGGTAAAAACACCAAAGTAAGTTTGATGCTGGATTGATCACCCTGGATGAAAATGTGTTGGACAATGACATGAATATCGGCCCACATAGGTCACTGTGAAAATGTGGGTGAAGAAGGAATACCAAAGGGATGTCTCAAATATCATTGAATTTGCCAGGATTTGGCTCAATGAATCACTCCTTTCCTTTTCACTCGTATTCACTTTCATGAATTTCACTTACACATTCATATGACTGCATGAGTGTCTTCTCCTGGGATCAAAAAAACCCCCATCAATAACTCTGACTAAAGTTCTCCTGACTCCTCTCCTAGATATTGGAGAATGGTCTGCAGAGACACAGGATAATAGACGATGATTAATCGGAGACAGTCAAGGTTAAAAGTTGAAAAATGAGTGAAGTCATCGTGCTTGTCTTTTAAGTTCAAATCTAACCCATGTATGTGGGTAATAAGCAAATACAGGTCAATTGTTTAGTTTAGTTTGATAGTTTAAAGTGTACTGTAGGTAGGCAGGGCTGTCTACTTTTGGTTATAGGGTTTTCACTTTTTTTTAATACATATAAATGTCTTGATTTAGAGACATTCCTATAGGGGTTGACTCTACATAAGCATTAAGCCCTCAAGGTCCAAGATGGTTTGAAACACTGAGTGGCTTAATGAGCCATGTTCAACCCATTAATGTAGAGCTTTTGTAAATTTGGATAATAAATTGATTGTAAAACCAGCATTAATGTATTTCATCGATTAACATACGATTTAGTTTACAGCTCAGACACATGTAAGTTAGCATTATCTCTTTAATGATAAATATTGTCCTACAGGTGGGGAACAGGTGAATGGAGTTCTTGCTCTGCGACCTGTGGGGTTGGTCTGATGACCCGCACTGTGGCTTGTACCCACCGTCCATCTCGGGACAGCAACCAGACTGAGGTTTTGAGGGATGAAGACTGTCAAAATCCCAAACCCAGTCCCGTCCAAGCCTGCAACCGCTTTGACTGCCCTCCTATGTGGGACACATACGACTGGGGAAAGGTAAAAGGAAGTTCACCAACACTAAATGGCCAACCCAGTAGTTAATCTCATGCATGTAGCACTCTAATATTTTCATCTCTGTAGTGCTCCCAGAGCTGTGGCGGTGGAGTTAAAAGGAGGAAGGTCCTGTGCAAGCAGCGGCTGGCAGATGGCAGCATCTTGGAGTTACCTGACACTTTCTGCCCTTCCAGAAGCCCAGCAAGCCAGCAGCCCTGCACCAAGCAAGAGTGTCCACCTCACTGGGTCACAACAGACTGGTCCCAGGTAAGCTTCCATTAAAGCAACAAGCTCCCTTTTTTAACTGGTCAAAATGGTAGACTGTATATAAAGATGGACATTGCAACATTTCACCCCATTTTTTGTATGAAATAGCTAATTAAATAACTAATTAAAGCCAAACTTGTGGAACATTTAGCACATCATACACCTATACTCGAACCAACCACCAGGTGGGGATCAAGACTCTTTGACTTCACTTTTGGGGAGCTGTCATGTCTATGATCAAAATCAAAATATAAAGCTATATGTACAGTATATGCAGGGTCTCATTTTCATGTTGTGAAATAACATTTATTCTTCCAGTGTTCTGTGACCTGCGGAAATGGCATTCAGACTCTCCAGGCCATCTGCAGGAAACTCGGGGAGGATGGGCGTTACTCGACAATAGACACTAAGAACTGCACCCTCATTGGCCGACCGACCAGAATCCGACCATGCTTGCTCAGGCTCTGTGAAAGTAAGAAACTCTCTGTTTAATTGCATTAAATTCATTTGAACTGGTAACAGAAGGGAGATTGACAGAAAAAGTTGATACTAAACAAAAGAAATACCATAGCGAAGTTATCTCAAAGGAAATCAATGGAAAATTAAATCATTCATTCATTCACTGGTCATGTCAATTTCACCCCAGACCCTAGCAAGCCTGAGCCCACCATACTGACCCAGAAGAAGGTCTACATCCAGTGGAGGAAGGGCAGGAAGATACAGTTGGCAGTGGGAGGCCATGGTTACCTCCTGCCCTGGACAACTGTGGTCCTCCGCTGCCCGACACGCCACTTCCGCAAAGGCCAAATTCGATGGCTGAAGGAAGGGAAACCCCTGCTCAGCCTCCCACACCTCTCCATAACACCACTGGGATACGTGAAGATCCACCAGCTCCGTGCGTCTGACGCTGGGATTTACACGTGCGCAGCAGGCCAAGCACGAGAGCATTTTGTCCTCAAGATCATTGGCAGCAAAAATAAGCTCTCAGTTCCCCAGTCATGGCTCCTCACAGAGGGACAACAAAAGATAGTTCAGTCTGACTTGGCCTCAACAGGAGACATATTTCAAAAGCTACCCATTTCCCTCAACCAATATGACAACATTGTTGAGCATTTGCTTGAACTCAAAGGCTTTGTCCAAGATGAGAAAGACATCACTGATAAACGACACTCTGGTGAAAAGCAGGACGAGAGAACCAGCGTGGAAGCTTCTGGCCCAGTCGTACTCATCGCTGACACAGACAGGCTGGATGAGATCATGCACAGCCTCTCTGAAGGCCTAGGGGGATCACAAGGAGAACAACTCATTGCTCAGTTGCTCAGTGAGCTCACCATGACACAAGGTGAAACGAATGACTCTACTCTTCACCCACCAGAGAGTGCAGAATTCTCTACCCAAGGACCGCCTCTTTACAAACCGAAAATCCACGCCACCAGGCCAAGAAACCCGGTAGTAATCCAACGGCCCAGGAAGGTTGGAGTCGTACCGTCGCCTGAAATGATAGTTCATGTAGGTTTGCCAGCTGTCCTGCAGAAACCAGTTGCTAGTTTGGAGTTGAGATGTGAGGCACTGGGGAGCCCTGAACCATCCCGAACGTGGACAAAGAATGGAAAAGAGTTGCTCTACAATAGCAGGTTAGAACTACCCCTACAGCTTTTGTTGTATCAACGTAGCTGATTGTTCTTTGACAGAACTGTCTCAGATTGAGAGTTTTTTTGTCTTTGTGTTGGCAGAGTAGGCCTGTTGCCCACTGGTTCACTTCGGATTCAGTCTCCGAGCAAAGCAGACGAGGGTTTGTACACGTGCACCGCCAGGAACCGTTTTGGGTCTACATCTCTTTCGTCTTGGCTTCAGATCACAGGTGAGATAAATGAACGCCCTCCCTTGTAAATATGTTGGAATAAAATATAGTTCTTGCAAGAAGATGATTTATTTAACCTTGAATGGTTTCATTCAAGTTAAATGTGTGAATAATGATTGTCCAAGTGTCCTGGACTTCATTACATCCACCAAGGAGGTTATGTATTCCCCCCTGTCTGTTTGTTGATGGTTCTGATTAGGTGGTTGAAGGGAGATGACCTTTTATCCAGAGTTGAGGTGGTGCAGGGGTCACTCACTGATCGCGGTCCTGAACTGAGAGCTTAATGACAGGAGGGGGAGAGAACATTTTTAACTCTAACCGCTTAAAGGTTATTGGCTAAAGGCATGTGTTGGTGTGATTCAGCAGGCATGTGCAAGAAGGGAGAATTCCTGACTGAATTATTGTAGTCAACCTATCAAAGTTAGGGTTCAAAATATGATCTGAAATGCAGTTCAACGTAAATGGAACTTCTGGTTAGGGTTAAATGACACAGACCTAGCTGCTTGGTTCTGAACATAGTAGTCAGTTTCACCTTCTTGCTGAGAGTTAGAAGAGAAGATCAATATTACTGTCTGTATGTCATAATATCTGTCTGTAATGAAGTCAGTCCTGGAACGCCCCCTCATCAGTATCCAAAATTGAACGGGCTCTTCCCTGACCCATACTACACATCCTTCCACCAAGCTTTCTGGAAAGTCTTTAAGTTATATCTGTGTAATCTTGCTTACAAACAAACATATAAACCAACCAACAAGCACACGGGGGTGACAACACACAGGTAATCAAAAAATACATTTATCACCTCTAAAGCTTCCAAGTGCGATACAGCGTGATGATCATGAACATCTTTGTGATTTTAGTGAAAGCTGTTTTTTTAGCTACACATACAAACAATAGTCGGTATGGCCCAGACTTCAAGTTGAGTTTGCCTTAATATGCTGTCATGTTGTCCAGTTTACAGTAATTTGTGTTGTTCTTTTGTGGTTCGGGCTCAGAAATTCTGGGAAATCATTCTTTTCAACTGAGAAACACACACACACACTCACAGACATAACCACAGACACCGACACACAGTCAGCTTCTACATACTCATCTAGCTGAGTCACTGTATGACTGAATGTGTGCAGTGTGCCATGGCCTCGGTCACCTACGGGCTGTACTGTCCTCGGCCTCCTCTGTGTCCGGTGGGTCCCAGCTTCACTGCGTTCCCCATCAAAGCACCGCCATTTTGGGTTTTCCTGACACTCTAGCCCTTTTCCTCCCCATACGACAACAATTAGAGGTTTCAGGCAATGTTTCAAAGAAGATTTAGTCTGCACCTCGTCCGCCTGATCTATGTGGAAAGCATTAAAAGGCTTTAAAGTGCTGAGAAACGGCAAAGAAAAAGATTGGAGCTGTTGAACTGACAGCAGCTGTAGATAAATGGAGACATGATAATATTTGTTCGTGTTTATCGGGTATAACCACTGCAGTTGAGGGTTTATAATGTTGATTTTAATTAACATCACTGACTTTTGTACTGTCACAGATGGAAGAAAGAATATGACCCTGTTCAGATCTAATATGAACATCATCAAGTGATACAATAACAAGTGGTCAAGTCTCAGGCGTGAACGCACGCTAATCCTCAGTTCGTCCTGAGATCCGATCACCCAAACACTCAGAGGTGGGGATTGACACATGTGGCCACAGTCAGTTTGCTGTGGGAATGCAAATGTGTCGGAATTACGAAGAACCGCCTACTCAGCTGACGCAACAGTTTCACAGTGTAGTAGTTTTATGCTTCTCACTGATAAACACATAGATACACAATGATTCAATTTTTAATGTTAAAATTACATTCCATGGTAGAGCGGCCCACAGTCTCTCCTGACTCGTCTCAGTCACAGGAGACATGTATTTTAATAAGTGTGAACAGACAAATTTAGAGCTAATCACTTGATTGGATCTCTCACAATGGATGTTAATACCAGGTCTGATAAGTAGATGTTTGAGGCAATTATCCTCCCCTGCTCTACACATGTATTCTTCTCTGCTGTTTTTTCAGGAAGCAAAGGAAAGAATTGTGGCCAAGGTAGCAGCATGGGAGCAAATGGCTCGATTTGCTCTGAGAGGAGTAACAGCAGCCAATCGGCAGAGCTGTGCCATGGACAAAGCTGTCGCCTCAGGTATCTTGCTCTGATGGTTGTGCCAGTGGAAATTCTGAATATAATTTTACATGCATTCCCAAATTCCTGCTTAGAAACCCTTAAAGAATTCCTTAAATGGTTTCTCTGTGTTTCACAAAGGAAATTGTTGATAATGCAAATGCTCTTGGCTTGGATTTAAAAAGTAAAAAACACTTAAAGCTTCCCCCTAATCGTATTGTTCTCATTTTCCTATACAGTTGGATTAGGTGGCGAGTTGATCCTTGGTCCCTGTGTTCAGCCACTTGTGGAGGTGGGTCCCAGACCAGGAGTGTCCGCTGCATGAGGGGTCCTGAGGGAAGGTCTAGAGAGGTGGAGGGCCAGCTCTGCCTTGACACAGGCAGGAGACCCTCTGACAGCAGGCTATGCAACCTCCTGCCCTGTGCCAGATGGGCCACCACCTCTTGGGGGCCGGTGAGATTACTCATTACTGAGCAGACATGGATCGTGTCAAGGCTGTTTAGGTGTTCAAATTTGACAAATTCAAATTCCTGGTCATTTATTTTGCAGTTGTTTTGATAATTTACTTTACTATTTACTAGTATAACCTGTCAGTTTTGTTCTCTAAATGATTCAAGGGGAAGCACACTGCTTTTCCTTCCTCAACTACCATGAGGAAGGAATAGTTTATTATATATATATATCCTAAAAAACTGAACTTGCTTTTGATTTTAATAAAAAGTCCTCTTTCAGTGTCATGGTCAGTGTATAGGTCCAAGTCTGGCCACACAGCACCGCCATGTGTTCTGCCAAAACACGAACGGCACCAAAGTCCCACACAGGATGTGTAGTGGACTCCACAGGTAAATGTATACGCCATTAAGTGTTTACTGTTGATGCCGAAAAGGACAGTGAATGCAGTGATTGAACTCACCAGAGTTGTGCGTTTGTATTTTCAGGCCCAGCTCTCTGAAGAATTGCTCCACAGAGGGCTGCTCCCTCCACTGGCGCGTCGGCCCGTGGACCCAGTGCACTGCCACCTGTGGAAGACACGGCTTCCAGTCGCGTCCAGTTACCTGCGCTCACCGTCGAACCAGCAAGGCCACACGGGAACATCACTGCATGTGGAGGCCTCGCCCTCCCAGTTGGCAGCGGTGCAATATTTTGTCCTGTGGAAGAGGTGAGGAACAATTTTATTCCAAGGGATTTTATGTTGGACAATATACACACACACATACTTATATAAATGTCTGTGTACCAGGTTGTTGCCGTGAGTCCCATTCTATGACATACATAGCTTATTTCTGTGGTCTGCCCTAAGTATGTCATTAAAAGAATAACTTGCATTCCCTTTCAGTTTCTTCTGATATTTCGAGGTATTTCCAAAGTTTCTGCTGGAATCTTATTCTCAATACAAAAAAGGAATGGAATTTGACTTGCGGTACTGAAAAAAAAGAGACACAATGTACTGGTTACATAAATTAACCCACAGACCTCAATTTGCGAGGAAAAGAGTCCCTATGAAAACCATTTAGAGACTTGTTGACATGTTGTTGTTTTTAAAAGTATTTTTTTCAGCCTTTTAAAAACCAGGCATGAAATTCCACAAGCCGGGGTTTTATTTAGGTGCCAGACGATTCAGAATTTCAAATTTCAACTCTTTTGCATAAAATTGAAAGGGTTTCTCTCAGAAGTATTTGTGGTTTTGTTTCACTGACTAACCCGGGAGATTAAAATTAATTCATAAACATTTTGATTTATTGTAATAGCTGTATAATGCTGATTCTTCTCACGAAAGTCTATAGGCTTAAACTGAGTATGTGTTGTAAACTGTATCTGCCGTGTATTCCAGCAGGAGAATGTCGAGACAGCACGAGGTACTGTGAGAAGGTTCGACAGCTGGAGCTCTGCCCACTGCCCCAGTTTAAGAGTCGCTGCTGCCACTCCTGCCAAAACACCTGAAACGCGGATGGGGGACGAGAGATGAAGGCTGTGGAAAACCTGAATTAGCCAGGGAAGGACCCAACAGAGACTTGAACCCTCTACGCCCCATCCCAATGCCAATTTTGATTAACGGTTTTGGATGGGGATACCTCTGTGTGGGGGAATGTTGGAGAGGCTGTGATCTATTTTCGTCAAAAGATGCCATGTGTGGGTTTCAATTACAAAGTAATGTTTTGAGAGGAGTGACGTGTCTGTTAATGAAGGCTTCGGTTTTACTTCATCCCTTTAAATTCGGGGGTACAACAGCTTTCACAAGTGACATAAAAGTGAAACACATGGTCACTGTGATCATAAAAAACTTGTGGCGACTGCATGATTTCATAAAGGGGAAGAGTCATTTTCTGAGACCTACATCACTGATATTTGATGTTTGCTGAAAATATCAATAACATAAGCATACAGTACACAAATAGGAAATCAGTATACTTTTGAAATTGCCCAGGGAATCTTGGTAGACCTCTGAGTTTGTGAAGACCACTGGAAAGTTGTGTGTTTTCCTTTATTGCAATGGTTTTCAAAACAGTATTGTTTAATAGTTAAGATGCTAAATGAGCTTTCATCTATGCGGTGTGGGTATACTCTTGTGTAAAACTGAAATACAACATAGTTGCTGCATATAAACAATGGGAAAAAGATAATGTGACTAAAAGCCTTGAAATTGATAAATGGTATGCATTTGGTATTAGCCATCTGATCTAGGCTACCATTTTGGGTCATTTAGCACGCGTTGACAGCAGTGATTGGTCAAGTCGTTTAAAGAGGGAAGGAATTAGGATCGCAGATGTTTTCACTGCATTGTTTTGGCAGAACAGAAAGTAGGAATGCGATTAAAAGATTTCTCTTGAATGGGTTGCACTAATGGAGGTATGTGACTGAAGCAAGTCGGTTTATGGAAAAAGGTAATTTTGCACTCAACTCATGCAGGTCTTTGTTGAGAACATGGCTTGTAGAGTTTCTTTTTAAATCTAGTTTGTGAGGTCAAATTGTTTATATATATTTTGTTTTCAAATGTGTCTTGAAATGTCCCTTTAACCACTTTGCGACACTGCAGCACATTTTAACATGAGCTGAGTATAATTGCCCACCCTTCTATTTCATTATGTCCACCAAATTACATTTTTGCCCAAGTTTGACATTATTGGAGAAAATACATTTAAAAGTTATTTTGCAACTTTGCTGCTTAGGAAAGATTAGCCTACAGTGTTAGTTGAACTTAAAATGTGTAAAATGACCTCTGTGTCACATTTAATATTGGCTAAAAAAGTTGGAATCATAATATATCACAATTACATCTTCGTAATGGGTTTTTGCACTTTTTGATCTTATGCCCTGGTTTTCATTACACTTCATCATCAAGTGCAACACAAACCACAGCAGGAGACTACTTCGCCTCTTATCGAGGTGTCATCGATTGATTTAATGAGATGAAAACATCTTTTACATGTTACTTAAGCTCTTAAGTTATGTAGATATGTGTCTTGTCCTTTAACTATTTATTTTTATGTGTGTTTATGTGCATACTATTGTAAATAATTTACAGGGGTGGGTTTTTATGTGTTCATTTACAGCTAATTCAATGTGCATGCAATGGGCACCCTCTGCTGGTGACTTGATGTGTTGCTCTCTGCTCATGCCTGGTTTATCATTAAATAAAACCAAATACATTCCATTCATAATCTGTTTTTTGTGATTCTCCTCTTTTGGATTCAAAACCTGACTGCATTATCAGAGCACAGTGCTCAGATTTGATCATGTTGTGAGACTGGGCTAACCAGTCAAACAATTTTTACAGTCACTGAAATAACCACCCTCCCCATTGGGACATTCCCACAAAATATGGAAGTACAGGGCTTTCCTAGTTCAACCCTGGGCTCTTTATTTCAGGTTGAGCAGTTGGCTTAACATAGAAGGTGCATACTAATAATGGGAGGTTCTACTATGAACCAGAATAACAACATACAACAGTGTTGTGATGACATCACAAGAGTTGTCTCAGATTTTGGTGAGGGAAAAGCTCTTCCTCTTTCTGTATTTACAGCATATGTTTCACTTCACTTCTCCACTGTCAAAAATGGACATCCCTCTGAGCGATTGAAGGACATCACTGACAACACGACATTTCTGATTCATACTAGGATTGTTTCAGATTAGTGATGGTGGAGACTGAAGGTTGCAATTCTTGTTTGACAGCAATCGGGGTTCTGCGAGTTTCCCTCGTGGATGAACTGGAAGGACGAATTGACTCGCTGCTAGAGGTTTTAGTGAATCAAGAGTTGTTCACTCGTGATGATCGTGAAGAGGTGCTGTGTCAGCCAGGGCCCCGGTCGAGAGTGAGAAAGGTTTTGGATATCCTGGGGTGTAAAGGTGAGGAAGCAGCCAAGGTATTTCTTAACATTAGCAGTCATCAGGAAGAGGCACAGAGGCATTCCAAAGAACTCAATACTCAACCTCAGTCTGTTGGTAAGTAGTACATCTGTCATTTGTACATTTTATGTAGCACCATCAAATGATCATGTTATTATTTTACAAAAGACAAAAGTGAAGGACATACTAAGCTTAATTTATTTTGCAGAGTATAACAAAGTCAAACAAAAGCATGAAGACGTCCTCAGGCGCCGGAGTGAGAGCATGCTCTTCTACAACACCCGACATGGAGAGAAAAACTTTTTTTCCGAACATTACGTCAATCTCCTGTTGGTTGACGGACACCAGGGCTTGGATATAAAAAGACACGAGGTGCTGACATTTGGACAAAAGCGACTATCTATGCAGCAGAAGTCAGCAGTACATAGGAAAATAGCGCCAGCTGAACTCTTTTCAAGTGCATATGGAAACCGTCCAGTCAAGAAGGTTCTGGTTACAGGGGTTGCTGGTATTGGAAAAACCATCCTGGTGCAGAAGATGATGTTCGATTTTGGTGGGAGAAAGAACCATCTTGCGTTTGATTTTATCATCCACATGACCTTCAGAGACCTCAATCTGATCGACAAACCAACAAACTTCCGGGAGTTGGTATTGCGAAAAAACCAGCACCTTGCTAAAGAGCTGGATAACATTTTAGCGAACGACGAAAAGCTGCTGATCATCTTGGATGGCTTTGATGAGTTCAGACACTACAGAAGCTGTAATGTGGATGTTTTTGTGACCGAACCAGATGAAGATGCGGAGGTGGTGGAGGTCTTAGGGAGTCTGATTCAGGGTGAACTTCTTCCCAACGCTTCTGTCATGCTAACAAGTCGACCTGCAGCCTTCAACCACATACCTGTTGGCTGCGTCGACCGCTTTGTGCTCATCACTGGCTTCTCCTTGACTGAAGTTCGAGACTTCTTCTTACGCTATTTCCAAGATGACGCCTTTGCTGACCGCATGTTTGCAGTGGTGTCAGCGAATGAACTCATGTTAACACTGTGTTACATACCTGCATTTTGCTACATTGTGTGTTGCATCCTAAAAGAAACCAAAGATCTCTGTGGAGAAAGCCCCAAGACCATGACAGACATTTATGTGCAGTATCTGGTGGCCTTGATTCGCTCTCACACTCAGTCAAGAGCCGAAACATTTCTTCAAGAGCAAAGTGCAAGGAGCATAGACCAACTGTCTGACATAGTGATAAAGCTGGGTCGACTCGCCTTCCAAAAGCTGATGGAGCATCAGACACTATTCTACAGCAGCGACAAAGATATGGCAGCTTTAGAGGGATGCAGCCTTGTTAGTACCTTTCTTGATAAGACAGTAGCACAAGAGCCCGGCTATACTGAAGAGGTGTACTCCTTTGCGCACCTCACTGTTCAAGAGTTCTTTGCAGCAGTCTACTGTGCAGTGACCGATCACCCTTTACCTGATGCAAGTCCAGGGGGGAGGACAAACAGAGGAAATTTTGACCTTTTCAACCGTTTCCTGGCTGGAATCCTCTCCGAACGCAATACTAATCTTCTATCAAGGCATTTGGGGCTGTCTTACCACAAAGAAAAAGTGGACACCTATCGGCAGAGGATCATCGGAGAACTTGCAGTGCTCTGTGACAATGGGGCCCATATCCTGAATCATTTACACTGCCTATTTGAGCAGCAGGACCCCTCACTAGCCCTTGCCGTGGAGCCCAAGACACTACGAGTCAACGTTAGCGATGAAACACTTTCACAAATGGATTACAATGCCATCAAGTACTTCCTGAACTTCATGGAGGGCAAAATATCTGAGCTGGATCTGACAGGGACTGGAGTCAGCTGCGAGGCACTTAGGGATATCCAGCCCCTACTGCTTAGATGTGAGAGTCTTTGGTGAGTTCCAACTATTTAGTTTGTATCATCTCATTCTCTGATCTTACCTGTCTCACAGGTTGAACTTCTTTTCAATAAGCTCCTTATAGAGGACACATTCCCTTTTTATGAAATGATTGCAAAGTGTTGACACCATCACTATTTGACTTTTAAGGCTTGGAGAAAACAACCTGGACATGGACAGTGTTCAGGTCATTGCTGATGTGCTGCAAGTATCAGACGCTATAACCCACCTCGGGTAAGATGTCTATCAATAATATTCCTCAGCCAATAAAATACTAGGTGACAAATAAGTTATGCAATTGCTATTTACTAAAAAGCATATGTGTGTTTTGGTCTCTAACTGGAACAAAAATAACCCAGACCATGTGTGACACTTTCTCTTCTCCATTTCAGCATTGGATGGTCAAACGTTGGCGATGATGAACTACTGGTTCTTTCTAGTGCCATACGGGTAAAAAAAAAACTAATGGAATTGTGGTAAGTGATGTATCACGATGCAACAATGCTTGAGGGGAAATGAAAGCCTGCCCACCCAACAGATGGTCATGATTGTCTGAATCATCAATCATTTAATAATTTTTTCCATTGAAATGTTAGAAATTGCTTAATAAATACTTTACATGCACTAATACTTACTTCTGCAAACACAAGCTTGAAATATATCCCTTTAGCCTGGCTTTAGATTATGTATAGTTTTTAAACAGCTACACATCTATGTTTCAAATTTTATTTGATTTTATCAGTTGGTTCACTTTTTTATTTGTTTTTATCACTTTCAAAATCTATTTTATGGAATTTCACTCTCAGCATTTTGATTTGTTTCATCCGTTATCATCAATCAATTGTGAAGCACTTTGAACTGCACTAACCTGTATGAGTGCCATACTATTTTGATTTATTGAATAATTGATTGGAATCAAGTTAGCATGAAGCATTAAGTCCATGGGAAAATAAAAATAATGAAGAAAACTACTGTCTGCAATTTATTTCACACATATTTACTTACTTACTTTCACAGGATGGAGGGAAACCGGGTTAGCTGCAGAGGTCTGCAGTCACTCAGCGACTTGACCCCAAACCCTCTGAAAAAAGTTGTGTGAGTAATTAACTTTTTTCAACAAATAATTCAAAGTCATATTTCAACATTTGTGGGTTTGTCTGAAGCATCTGTTGTTTCACTCATTGAGCAGCGCTATCTGGAATGACCTGACAGACACCGAGCCAGAGTCCGGGTGCAGCCAAGAAAGCATCACTGTGAACTTCACCGACGACCACATGTGGGAGGCCTGGGGGCAGTGGGTCTTCAAACGGTGTGAGGTCAGCAGCAACGAGAAGCTGGTGATGGTTCTGCATAAAGTGTGCAACATATCGGTCCACTACTTAGAGGTCCAGTGGGTGAGGACCTTCTACAAGCAACTATTGCAGCTCATCAAGCACAGGATTGAGTCATGCACCGAGGAAGACATGTGCAAGAAGCTCAGAAAGTTTGAGAATATTTTGAACCCCTGAAACAGTCTGACTACACTGTCTGTACTCACCTCAAGTTATAAGATAATAAATACAGATTAAATGTCTGTTTGATGCTGAATTTTTTGTGGGAAAATAAGTAAGTAAGCCATAGCAATACTGAGTGTCAACCAAAAGTGGCCTGAATTTGTTTTGTTTTATCTTGGCCGTATTCACCATTTACGACATGGACCACATGGGTTCACATTCAGATTACACCATGCACTGCATGTCTGCCAAAAAAGGCAGACATTTGTGTTGGGCCACATTTGCTATTTTATAAGAGAGACACTTTTTTGCCCAAGCGACCAAAAGGCTGCAAGTGTTGCATCATTGCCCAAAGTGGCCCGCATCCTTCTGCAATCTGGGGAGGTGTGCATGTTGTTTCAGATATTTAACCTCTGTAGCATTAAATTTAAAGCATGATGAATGCAGAATGACTATTTCTGTATTACCATGGCTAGGGGTTAATGCACCAATAAAAATATCCCCAGTCCCCCTGAGAAAATAAAATCTTCTGAAAATCTTGCCTGGATTCATGTGAATAATGCATTAAAACTCAAATGAGCTACAAGTGTATCTGTACCTTTAATGAATATCTTTCTGCTCAAACTGGTAGGTACTTAAACCAGCGTGTCTATCAATTGTTTAGGAAGAAATAAAAAGAAAAGGAGTGGCCCGTACGGGGATCGAACCCGCGACCTTGGCGTTATTAGCACCACGCTCTAACCAACTGAGCTAACCGGCCTGGTGTGGCTTCTGAAATGACGTAGTTTATATACTGTGAGTATGCGCGAACTACAATATGAGTGAATCATAATACACTTTTATTTGACACTTACACAAACCAGCTTCCCCCTGCTTCCTTGTTGACTTCACATTTCTGGAATTCGCGCTGGAAAGAAGCTGCGAACATGGTGAATAATGCCCGGAAATATTGTTCGTGATTTCTCTAATAAAAGCACAAACAATGTCACGGTCCTCCGCCCTCCACAATCAGATTTAGTTACAAACAATTTCATATAAACACTTAATAATTAAACAATGCGAACATAGGCTATAGATAGATAGATAGATAGATAGATAGATAGATAGATAGATAGATAGATAGATAGATAGATAATAAAATAAAATGCCAAATAATGTAATGTAAGTCATTCGTAAGAATCAAGCATTTATAGGGTTTTTTGTGATCATCTACTTTGTGGGAAAGTCATTGTATAAAACGCACAACAACAAAAAGCTGTTGATAAAATATTGCAACTTGCAGTTTGCACTTTATTTTGGAATGTTTTAGCGGAAGTCAGGTCAAACCAGCCGTTGTGGCTTATGACGTCAGTAGCCTGCGACGTCTGACTGAACGTCGCTGTTTGCGTATTTATGTGGTTTATTGAGCGTGTTCAGCATCAAACTGGACTGTTTCGTCCTCTCACACACGGTAAGTCCTTCATATTAAGATGGGATTTGATATTAAAGGGAGTACTCTGCGGATTTCCCAAACACAGTAGCCATGGCTGCAGCTCTTCCTTTTCAAAACTACCCGCGAATTGACTTCGAGAGCACAAAGGTAGTGATGGCTAACAAGCATCTGGCCGCTTTAGCAGGCAGGTCCTGCACATGAAGCTTTTGACGATCTAATGTTATGAAGATTTGAATCCTGAATCCAAACGGCCTGTTCACAATTTAATGTGTAATTCTTACATGAAAGATATGTCAGAGCTCAGATTAGCTGTGTATTGTGTGTGTAAATTAGAGTTATGATAATATCACATAATAATAAGAACATTCTGAATATAATAAATAATAATTGTCTCACTCAGATAAAAGGTGTTCAAAGCCACGAGTCAAAAATTGAAGTTTATGTGTGTGTTTGTTTCAGTCCCACCCTCAGGATGATTGACACAGAGAGGGGAGCCGAGGATGCTGGCCCCGCAGTCCACAGCAGGAAGGAGAACAAGGAGACAGAGAAGAAGAAGCGCTCTCGGGTCAAACACCTGCTGGCTGATGTGAAGAAGCAGGTGGAGTTCTGGTTCGGAGATGTCAACCTGCACAAGGACCGCTTCCTGAGAACACTCGTCGATGAGTCAGAAGACGGATGTAGGGATATACCACCTTATCCATATCTGTCCTCAAGTTTATCTTATCACAGCACTCATACAGCACATGTCATGTCTGCATTGCAAGAGTCAGTAGCTGAAACCATTATTTTTTGGAATGCTGGCTGTGAAGTGATCTCTTCTTTTTTTCAGTGCAAAATATAGGATCAGATCGACCAGTTGAATGTGATCGACGTGTTGGCTACCACTGCTTTAATGCAAGTGTTGGCATGAAGTCATTAGTTGTAACCAAATATTTCATGTGTCTTAGATGTTGATATATCTGTGTTGGCAAGCTTCAATCTAATGAAAAAGCTGACAACGGACACCAAGCTGATTGCGAGGGCGCTGAAAAATTCATCTGTAGTTGAGGTATGGATTTCTTTTCAGATTTTGTTTTACAAAACACATCAGCGTTCACAGTACAATTTATACTCAAAAGTAAACGCATATTAATATACACTTCCATAAAAGCGAGTTTCTATTTTTTTGTTTCAGGTGAACTTGGAAGGCAATAAAGTGCGACGTCAGCTTCCAATTGGTGACATACCAGATGATACAGACAGTCGCACAGTCTATGTGGTAAAAACCGTTTCTGTTATTGTCTTTATTTGAAATAATAAAGTCTTACAGGCTTAGTTTGTCCAGTTGTAAAAAAAAAAACATGGCGGCCTCCGTAGAGAAGACCCGCCCCACATTTAAATATAAAGTTTAAAACATAATAGGTCCATTCTAGGGTAAAGAAAACAACAACTTGTACAATTTAGATGAAAAACACTTGTGAAAATATCACTTGATTATTTTATATTCAATTTCTGCCGATTGTTGTAGTCACAAGGTAATACAATTGTCTTTTCTTTCTTTTTTTGCCAGGAACTTTTGCCCAAGGATGTGACCCACAGCTGGATAGAGCGAGTGTTTACAAAATGTGGGGATGTGGTGTATGTTAGCATCCCCAGATACAAGTCTACCGGTGACCCCAAGGGTTTTGCATTTGTTGAGTTTGAGAAAAAGGAACAAGCAAAGAAAGCCATAGAGGTGAAAATTCATGATGAATGTTGCTTGAACTATGTGAAAGTTCAGTCGATAGTTTGAGTTTTGGCAGGAAGGGATCTTATGGGAAATTTTGATATTTAAAACAGATTCTGAACAACCCACCTGAAGATGCTCCAAGGAAACCAGGGATTTTTCCCAAGACAAAAAGTGGGAAACATATTCCTCTGACAGCCGACAATCCACCATCAGGTACAATTTATTACAATTCCATCAATCACTTATTCATGAGAAATCTGATGCTGGCGTTAAGATCAAGAGTATTAGTGTGATTTGTTGTATTCATCCCAAACTTCTTACTGTAGGGGAAGAAGAGGAGAAGAAAAAGAGAAAGAAGAAGAAAAAGAAAGAAGGCGCCACAGTGCCAATGTCTGCAGAATCCAAAGAGCAGGAGATGGAAGAAGAGCCATCGGAGCAAAAGAGGAAGCACTCCGCAGTGGGGGATTTTCAACTGGAGGGAGCCAGCACTCAGAAAACCCCAGCAAAATTGTCAGAGAAAAAAAGACGACGGTCGCAGACAGTTGAGGGATCAGAGAGTGACGTACCATCAAAGATAAGAAAAACTAGTGAAAGTGAATTTAGAGAGAAGGAGAGAGATGTTGCAAAGACTGGTGAGTGATTTTATCTCCTAATGCATAATGCATAACCCATAGTCCTTTCACTTGGGTTGCTACTCGTGTTTCATCAAGTTTGATGAGGTGTTTTTGCAGCGATGACACTGCAGGTTTGTTATTCTGCTAGATCCACCCACTAAAAGCGACACGGAAAGAGGGGTAGAGGAAGGGAAAGAAAACGGAGATGATTCAACAGTCAAAACAAAGAGAAAAAGGAAAAAGAAGCATAAGGAAAAAATGAAAATTGGGGAGGAAGTCATCCCACTGCGAGTTCTGTCAAAGTAAAACTATACACATCCTTTTTTCTCTCTTCATACGTCATAATTTTATTAATAAGTGAACTGATATTATTTCTACATGTCTTCCTTCCTCTTTTGTGCATATGAAGGAAAGAGTGGCTTGAACTGAAAGTGGAGTACCTGACCTTGCAGAAGCGCAGCATGGCATCGCTGAAGAAGTGCATTAGTAAGATTGATCACAAGGAGCACAAGGGTCGAATGGAGATAGAGGATGAGCCTCAAGATGGAAACAGTGAGTTTTGGATGAATGATTCGCTGTAATTTGATTTGAGGTGGACAAACTCCAGACTATTACACCTGGGGGAGAACGCAACCAATAATTCCATGTTCAAGCACATGAAATTAATAGTTTCCATTGCCTCTAATATTATACAGAAACAACCCAGCACTTAAAATTAGCTGCTAAAGGTGGGTGTGGTCTGCCACCTGTTGAAGGTTCTGTGTTGCAAAATGAATACAAGTTTAAAAAAATGATATGAAACAAAGTGTAGAAGGAAGTTTCTAAATTTTTTAGGAAAAATCAGTTCCTTTTGAAAAAATTACATTTGTTCTTCTAGGAATTCTCCAGTCTGTACATTTCATTGGTAAAATGCTGCACTTGCCCTCAGGAACATCCGTGAAGATGGCATTAGGACACTTCCTCAGAAACTCCTCGTCAGTAGTTACTGCAGCAATAACTTTGTGGAGGATAACAAAAATTACTGTGAGCCTGAATATAAGTGTAATATGTCTCCTTTAATGTTGTTTTTTTATTGTTGTTTTTTTCCTGTTATCAAGTAGAGAAGAGTCACAAAAGTGAAAAAGCAGCGACCCTGGGCCCTCAGTTTACAAGCGGTGTCATCCTTAAGATCACAGACATCAAGCCGTTACCAGAGCGAAAGTTCCTCAAAGTACAGTACAACTCAACACACTCATCAGATTTACTGTCAGTTTTGATTATGTTCTGTATCACTTGATGCTCATGGGGATGTTTGAGCTCAGGTCTTGTTTTTTTCCTTCCTGTGCATGAATGTTTGTGTGTGTGTGTAGGATGCTTTGAGTAAAATATCACAAGTGGCATACATTGACATCTTGGAGGGAGATGCTGAGGGTCACGTCCGCTTTCACACCCCAGAGGAGGCCAAAGCGGTCAGTGATGCCCGAGCTGAGCTGCAGAGGGAGCACAGCTGGAAACTGGAAATTCTCTCAGGTATCACTTTTTCAATTTCTACTTCTATTTGAAGGGGTAGATCTATTTTGCATGCATGCTTGTTTCTGTGTTTTTCACAGTTGAACTTGGCATAAGAATGAGTTTTTCTTTCTGAAAAAATGTTTTGTCAGAAAATAAAAAGTATTTAACATGAGAGTCTCTTTTTGATTCCACTTAAAGGCGATCATGAACAAAGATACTGGCAGAAGATCCTCGTAGACCGCCAGGTCAAGTTGAACCGTCCGCGAGAAAAGAAGCGCGGTACAGAGAAGGTGAGATCAAGAAAAACTACTCATTTGTCATTGGAATTCAATATTTCATATCCAGCTTTTTCTGTATATTGTGTTTTTTGAATACAGTCTAACAATACCTGGAATAATTTAGGCATCTAAACAAATAGTCAAATACCGTCACAACAGTTAGAACTGTCTCTTTTATTTATGTGCCATTACATGTAATTTCTCGTTTTCCTTTCACTCTCCAGCTCATATCCAAAGCTGAAAAAATCATCCTTGCCCGGGCCAAAGAGGCGAGTAAGCACATCCGTTTTCAAGAAGACTGACACCTGCTGAAACGAAATCATTTTTTAAAAATTTTACAATCATACATGTTGAACTTTTACATGATGTGATTCGAGGGGGGACAGTTTATGTAAATTTGCTTTTTTTTTTGACACACAACTTGAACCACAGTTAATGAGTTAAAACGTCCGCTTATTCTTCGTTTGCACTGGAACCTTCAAGATAATGTGGAATGTTGCCATGGATAAACACATTTAGACATTTTTAAAATGTATTTTTTTTTTTTTTAAACTGTACATGATATGTAAATATTACTGATTTGATCCTTCTTCCAGTAAAGATTAATTCAGTATGAGTTCTACTCGTCTTGTATTTTTTTTTTACTAAAACCCTAACCCAGCATACAGAAGTGAGGTGGCAAGTCTGGTGACATGGTGTGACCAAGATCGTGGACATGAGAAAGGAGAGGAGAACTCATCTGCCGCTGTTCAGCCGTGGGCTTGAGGTGGAGAGGGTGAGCAAACTCCTGGATTTCTACATCAGTGACACTTAAAACCACCAAGCTGGTCAAAAAAGCAGAACAGCGACTGATGTGGCCACTTAATAGTCGCTGTTCCCCTCGCAAGTGGTCAAATTACAAGTGAAATGTGGAATTTGACTTGCTGACACTTGGATGACACCACACAAGCAGTATGGAGGCATGTTAGTTGTTTTTTTTACTTGTTTTATTACGTCTGAAAAGGAGTCACCAGTTACATTACATTACATTTTATTTAGCTGTTGCTTTTATCCAAAGCGACTTTCAATAAGTGCAAGCAACCATAAGGGTACAATCCCAGAACAACAAGAATCAAGTAAGTTACTTCAATTGTATTGGATTTGGCTGCAAAACTGTTTGTAAAGGCATCTTGCATTATTGTGTTTGTCCACCAGATGACGTCCAAAGCTTTAAAATATTTGGACACTGAGATGACTGCATACCTCCATTAAAGCCCAACTGTCTTCTTATGAAACCACTTTTAAATTCACTGGGGTGTTTAAATTTGCACCACATTGGACACACTCATAAATATCAACCAACTAAATATGCCAGATTTTTTTCCCATCAAGATCCACAAATTATTTTCTGAGAAATCAAGGAAAATGTAGAAAAACATTAATGTTAAAAAGAGAAAATCCTGGATCAGATTATTATTCTAAAGACCATAGATCATAGACATTGCAACAACTTAACCTTTGTGCCTTTTTCATGTTTACAGCGTCAAAAAGCTGAGACTTTATTTAATTTTAGCCCCCACTCATTTCCAGATGGAGGGGAAATTCTGAGGCTCTTAAACGAATCAACTTATTATTTAATTAACAACAAAGCACGACTCAACAATGGAGTTAATCAACTGTGAAAATAGCCATTAAGGAGTCTGAGAGAAATTATATAAAAGGTATGTATAAAAGGAACTGTACTGGACCAGTATGCCCAAGCACTTGTCCAAAAGTCAAACAAATACAAACAGATAGTGCAAACAGGAAATGTGCAAAACTAGATTAAGCAGTACAAGTACTTTATGGCTAATGTGCAATTATGATGTGCAATTATTTCCACATTGTGGGACTAATAAAGGAAAATCTTGTTTTATCATAAATGTAATGGTTGTGTGTGTGTGTCTGTGGACATTTGTCAGCATCTCTTCACCTGAAAAATCAATTCCAGCCTGGTACCTACTGCATGCTAGGGAGCCAAGAGCTAATTTATGAATCAGATTATACAGCATATTATTTTAGGGGTATAAAAGGAGAAGTTCGGTTTTTTTTCAACCTGGTCCTTATTTCCAGCAACACAAGTGACTGGGGCACCCACAATACAGCCTCTAAATAACGCATTATCTGCCGTGAAACTCTTGATTTACTATGAATCTCCAGCACAAGTTGCTTTGTTTACATCCTGGGCTTTCACCGGGGTGACGTCACCGAGGCGCGCATCCACAGATCAGCTGACGATCAGCTGTGTTTGTTTACACGGAGTTTGCCGCTGCTAGTTTTGCGCAACATGGCAGAACACTGACCAGGTGCTTTACAGTACAGTATTCTTTTAAAGCAGCTGTGTCCTGGTGCTCGGGCGCATTCACCCGGTTAAAGGCTAGCTAACTTCAGCGGGCTAACGAGCAGCCTCGGAGCTAGCGTTAGCTTAGCGAACCGAGAGAGAGTTGTCTTCCTATTTAATCAACACACCGGGTGAATACGCCCGAGCATTCATAGTAAATCAAGAGTTTCGCGGCAGATGATGTGTTATTTAGAGGCTGTTTTGTGGATGCCCCAGTCACTTGCGTTGTATGGATACACGCTTTTGTGGCTCTAAAAGCGTCCGAAGGACTCCAAGTTACTCCAAACCTTTATGGGTGAGTAGATCTACACACCATATGCTGGAAATAAGGTTGAAAAAAAACCGAACTTCTCCTTTCAAGAGATAAAACTCTGCCCTGATGAATGTCATCATAACCCACTGCCATGCAGCTGTCCCTTAAGACTTACATCCATTCATTCAAAGTGACTTGGAGCGAACACATATTCACATTAAAATGCAAAAAGGCTGAAGAGAAGAACGCCAGGAATAAGGAGTCAGGAGTCTGGAGGAGGTTTATGGATATTTTAAACCTTCTCCCATTAAGAATTCCTGACTGCACATGACAAACTGACTTCATTCAGTGTCATTCAAATCACTCGCAAAACATGTTGGTATCATGAAACGAGTGAACCGTGCAGAGAGATGAGTATCTGATCTCACTGCTGATTGAATATGGCTTTAATTAAGAGACATACAGGACTACACTTGTAGCCTGTTGGTGCTGATGTGAGCCAGGCGGTGGCGCCAAAGCTCAGTTAGTACATGGGATAACCCCTCTGTGAGCCATTCAAACCAATGTGGACGTTCCACCTCTGCATCTCCAGTATTTTTTGATGGGACCCTGCAGGAATTTAAGAGAAATCACTTCAGTCGTAAAAACCCATGTTCCAGTTTTGGATGTGGAGTGAACTCATGGTGGGGTTTGCGCATTGTCCACTCGTGTCGTCATCACAGTAAATCCACAAAATAAATAATAACCGACATCTCATCAGAATTCCAGACATCAAACAGTCCACAAAAGAGACAGACGCTGCAGGAGCATCTTTTATCTGAGCTGCTGCTGCTGGGCTCCTCCATGGATCTCTCCTCTCCACGTGAGCTCCAGTGCACACAGTTAAATAAAGATGAGCTCTTTTCTCATATCTGGAGTGTTTGGTGCGTCCCTCTGTCAAACTAAAGGTTTTCAAGCGTTTTTTTCCACAAAGGACACAATCAGTGTGTTAACTTTGCTGTCCTGCAGTTGTAGTGGCTGTTATTCTAAAAATAAAAGTAAAATGAATGAACACAAATCAACCAATTAATGATTTATTATCTTTTGCGTGTTTGTTGTTTTATGGAGCCTTTACTTTGAGCCATACATGCGAATAAACATGAGAATATCAGCTAAATGCGTCTTGTACTCAGCAATCTGTTAAATCTCACGTGCGAACATTATATCAAAAGGGCACTTCACGTTAACTAAGTGCGCGTCAATAAATTATGTTAATCAGTCAGGACGGATTGGAGGCGTGTTGCTGGTGTAATCAGTGGGAGCACGCCTGCACAGTGTTAACGCTGCCTCCACCACATGTGCGCTGCCTTGTGTTTCCCCAGGCTTTCACTTGAGTGTGCATGAGGGCATTTTGTGCGCTAGACTACTGTGCAAGGTTCGGCGCAACAAGTTTGCAGGAGCCCCAGCGCGCCGCCGTGCACACAGGTTCACTTTGCTTTGGCTGGAGCAGAGAGGAGAGGGGCTCCGCTCGTCTGTCTGTCTGTCACCACAAAGTCCCTCTACGTGAGCGCAGCGTCGCAGCCAAGCGCGCGCACACACACTCTCACACAGATTAGTGTGCCACAAATTCGTGACTCCGCGCCAGATGCAGTTTGCTCCCCACAGCGCGTGTTACTGAATGGAGATCGCGGAGGCAAGAGGAGCATCTAAGTGCGTGGAGAAAATGGAGAAAGTGGCACCTAAGAAGCGACGGCATTGCAGCACGACCCTGCTGAACATAATCTCGTCTTTATGTTCGGTGGGGTCCGTCGCCTTCTGCGTCCTTCTGAGCATTAACGCAGCGGACATTCAGAACCGGGTTGTGGATTTGGAGAATGTGAATGGCGGCCAGCCCTTTATCCGCGCCACCGGTTACTCCACGGATGATTTGAACTCACTGGTTCAGCAGAGAGTTGATGAGCTGCTCTCGCAGGTAAGGCTCTTGCACTTGCTCTCAATGAGTTGCTCTCAATGAACTGTCTTCAGCTGCTTAATTGGCCAAAACGCACTGACCCTGTTCACGCAAAACTTCCTCCAAACACCTACAATTTACGCAAATCATCTTGTGCACGTGAATAAAATCTGCTTTCTTTTATAATTCCAGCGCTCCTATGAAAATTTTGTCAAGATTCGGACTGCCAGACAAACATCACCTGAATGCAACTGCCCTCCAGGTAAAGGAAACTACTTTCCTGTGTGTGAGTGTGAGAGTGTGTGTGTGACATTGGATTTGAAGCCTGTTTAAGTTGATGTAAGAATGAACAGCTCCTTAATTTCTTCCATTCAAACTGATGACACACACCAGTTTGCCTGGATATGTGTTGATAGTCTGGTGGAGCTGTACTGTGACGGATGAGGACAGCTGAATGGTCATTACGCATAACAGAGAGAAAGCTATTTAACTGTGGTCTATACATAGAGGTGCTGAGAGGTTTGACTTTTGATCTTGCCTGTTCACTTAAGCCGCATGAAATATTATTTTCTCACCAGTAGATGGAAACATTTATTCCTCCAGTGTGGGTCAGTGCAATCATGTTAGGACAAGGTTGGATTAGTCAGAACATCAGTGAGGGAGATTTTGTTGAAGAGGATGCTGCACAGTTTGAACAGTGGTGTTAAATAGTCTCTGCAAGTCATGGTTTTCACTATTGTGCATCATCATTATTGGTGGCAAATCACTAAAATTTAAGGGATTGACAGCTCCAGGTTGAAAATTAAAATGTATAGAATACCAGCTCTGGGGCATCTTAAACAAATATCCCTAGAGTTTTCTGTATGGATGTAAAATGCTGCCACATAAGCAAGTTCTAAATATGCAGTTTGAGTCCATTAAGACTCCTTTCCTCTTGTTGCAGATTGATCAGTGCTATTCCTCATACAATTCAGAGCAATATAATTTTGGCACTGTTGAGTGAAAACCAGGTATTTTCTTTATTTCAGATGAAATTAAGGATTAAGTGTACTTTTAATGAGTTGAGGAAATTCTCCCATATCAGATAGATCAACCATTTATAAACCCATTGGATTGGTTTTATTGTTATTAAGCTGTTAACATGGGTGTTTTTCTTGGCTCACAAAGTTTACAAGATGAGTGTTTCCATGTGGATTTCTTCAGGATGCCACCAGACGTGTATTTCATTAATTTGCTCATGAGATGAAAAGTCAGTGGTCATTGACAATTGGTGTCACGAATGCCAAAGGTCTGCCAAACATGATCCTTGCCCCTTTTTGAAATGAGATAAAACTAGAATGTCACTCAGTAGAGCGCATAACCCCTTAAAATTCAACCAAGTTGCACCAAATTTCTCACACTCAAAGATTTCAGTTCGCTAAATGTGCAAGATTTATTTTTAATTTTTCTGAACTACAAGGTTATTTCCTACATGCTGCAAGAAACTGCTGTGTTTTCATAACTTTTAGAAGTTAGATGAGGAGGTATGTTTCTGTGTGGCTTTAGTCACCTTAAGTTGTGAATGTGATCCAGCGAATGTGTACTGTCGGAAACATAGATACATAGTGAGAGAGAGACAAAGAGGAGCATTGTGGGTAGATCTTTTTAGATGGACAACCCAGGTGTTGGCAAGCATCTGCAATGTAGGGCTGAAGTGTCCTTGAGCAAGACGCCGAATCCCAACTGAAGCCAGAGTCAAACAATAAAAAAAAAAAAATTCCCTCTTGTGGATACATGCATCACGCGATCAAACAAGTATTAGTCTCATGAAAGAAGAACCAAGAGCAGTGAAAGTGATAATCATGAATAAATGGCGTGGTTTATCTTTGGCGAATGACTCATCTTGCTGAGTGAAAACGCCTGAATTAATGAGCCTGAAGTATTTACAACTATTAACCATAATGAGACTCACAATCATGCTGCTCTCTGTTCTCAATCCCTATCATATGTCATGTGCTTTTTTTTCTTCTTCTTCTTCCTTCTCTCCCCCAATATTTTTGTAGAGGGCAGAAATAAAACAATAAAACATTTCACATGAAATGAAGCACGACAACGCTTAAACCATGGCGGTATAATCTTGATCTTGGAGAACTGTAGTTTGTTAAAGCTCTGTTCTGGGCTTTTTTTCAGGCCAGATTTATTTTTGCTCTATGAATGCTGAATGGGTTCACTCAATATTTATCCTCTCTTCTGTCGAGGGAGACGGCATGTGGCTCAGATGTGGTTTTTCTTTTTTCTTTGAGGGGAGGACAGTAATGTGCTTTTCACAGTCTTCACTTAATTGCTGTCAAAGAAGATGGAGTGGTTGCATAGACAGAGCAATGGTCCATGGCTTGGAGATATTTTATAGGTTGTCTCTGACTCTGAGTACGTTTTTCTTGTGCCATCTTTATCAGAGAAAGTCTGTCACTGATTTAGATTTAATGCTCATGTATTAATTAGTTAAAGAGCGGGAGGTTTTTGCTGATGTCTGTGTTGCTGTCATTTTAGGACTCGGTTATTAGCTTCTGCGTGACTGAAATCTTTTCAGGCACTGAGACTGGTTCTCAACCTGAAATGTTTCTTCAGCCACGCAATAGATGTAGCTGTAGGGCCATGAATGTCAACAGTTCATCACTTTGGTCCAGGCTGGATGGATTGCCTTGAAAAGTTTTAATAGACATTTGGAAACCTCTTAGGATGAATCCTATTGTCCTTAAATTTTCCTGCAGTGCCACCAGCAGCTGGCATATACCTTGAGTTTGGCATTTTGTCCAGCACTTATGTCTATGATCTAATGCACACCAAGCTTTATCGTCTGTTTTATTCTAAATGGGGCCATAATTTACAAAATAACATCATGATGTATTGATGGACATTTGAAACTAGAGATTGGGACCATCATCTCTGTATTTAAATATTTACTGATGTTATAAATCCAGTAAGACGAATGGTTGTTTCCTCATAGACTTCTATAAAAACTGACTTCTTTTTGCAACAACTGCAGTTGTCCTCTGCTAGTCTTCCAATAGAATAAAGGTTTTCACGCTGTTCCACATTGGCTTCACTTTCCAGACATGAAGTCTACGTCCATTTTTAAATACAGACTATGGTGCCACTGTGTGGTTGAGTTTTATCTTTTGGGTTGACATATCTCTACACCTATAGTGCATCATGGAAACTTGGTTGAACAATGCATTGTGTCCACAACCCTGAATTTGAGTAAACCATTGATTTCTCATCTTGGGTCATCAGCTGGTAGAATTGTTTTATTTATGACTGTATGCACATATAGACATTCCCACCAGCCTCTGTACTTTGTTTAATATATTGTGAGCGTGTTAACCATGCTTGTGTTTACCTCAAAGTGCTGTTGTGTTCATACAGCCTCAGAGGTGTGTGTGTGTGTGTGTGTGTGTGTGTGTGTGTGTGTGTGTGTGTGNTTCATTACAATGGAAACAGCAGGACGGGTCAGTTCAAACCCTCAGTGTGTGTGTGTGTGTGTGTGTGTGTGTGTGTGTGTGTGTGTGTTTGGCACCACTCCACCATTTTCAGATCAAACCTTTGTCAGAATTTCTGGACCGCACGTCGGGTTTGAAAAACTGTTTTCACACCATACAGCTGGTGTAAATAGTCTCTGGTGTAGGGGCAAAGAAAATAACTCTCAAACCAACCTGGTTTGAAAATGTCTATCGTCACACCCACTCTTTATGCCACCTTGTGAAGCGAGTCCCCTTCTAAATAATTGTTAGTGTTTGCGGGCTGCTTTCCTTTTTTCATTTTTTGTACCTTCTCCTCCCCTGGGGTCTGAATTCCATTCAGGGCCTGTTGTTTAATGGGACTAATAAAATGTGCATTCTGCAAGCTCCGGTGCTTTGTGCTTTCCCTGTTTACTCACCCATACACCTCAAACCCACCCCCCTCTCCCATACATCCCCCTTTTCCCATTCTGCAGCATTTCTTGAAGTTTACGCTTCAAAAGGCCTGGTAGCCAAACAGCAGCTGAAGGTGCACTGCAGGAGAAACAACAGTGTACCACTTGTTAATGTGCTGGACTTTTGTTTAACCAGGCCATAGTGGCGAGGGGAAGCAGGATGGTATGGACCAGATTTCAAATTGAAACCGGTAGTATCTGTTTTGCTTGTTTTGTCGGGTCTACATTCGATTCACTTCACAAGTGAGGGGGGGGAACCACACACACGCTGCGACTCTCAACCCAATCACCTCTTCTCAGCTCCTTGTAGACAACCCGCTTCCCCCCTTTCCCCTGCCTCACACTGTGTAATCCCAGCAGCCTGATACAGTTACAGTTGTGCCAATCCCCTCAAATATCAACTTGGTGGGCAACTGGTAATTAATCCCCGACAGCTTTTTAAATTAAGCCCTCTGTGTGGTTTGGTGCTGGGAGGTGCCCTAATGGTCGTGTAATTACTGAGTGCAAGGTAAAGCTAAACAGGCTTCCAGGTAGCCACTGCTCCCAGCTGCTTCTGTTTAGGGGGGAGGCTATCGCTGTGAGCAAACGAGGCCGGAGGCGAATGGTGGAGCCTAGCTGATGGGCAATCATGATTTTGATTGCCGCTTAATTGCTTAAAGCGGAATCTACATGCAAACTGTAAGCATAATGCACTCCACTCAGTCAATAAAATCTTGCAGGCATAAAAAGCTTGACTCATTCAGCTCAGGTTGTACGTCAGTCCCAATAAATTAACATGACGTGGTTTAAGTGAGGCATTTGCCGTAATTTCCAATTCTCAAACACAGTTTATTATAAAGGGCAGGATGCTGGAAATAGCACTGATGGTCTCTTTGTACCTTTGACTCAGCATTTTTCTTTCTTTTCCATCGGAGATGATGGAGCATGCCAGCTAAAAGCACTGGAAGTGAGTGGAGGGTTTGAAAGGGTGGCACACTTTTCTCCTATTTTACAATACATTACCCAGAGGGAATGCTCTGAATTGAGAGGAGAGGACATGGTTTTTATACGAGCAATGTCACAACAGTGCTCCACAGGAGATTGAAGGTTCCTCAGGCTGGGAGAGCATTTCAAAAGGGGGGGAGCTGAATGGAAATGCTCGCGCCTAATAGTCTGTCTCGTGTGTCCTTGACCGTTTCCTGTCACTGATCCTAAATTATAATTTTTTTCTAAAGTAGGAAGCTTGGCTGGGATTTCCACCACAGATCACTCCACATTTGAAGAAAAGAATTGTCTCCAGTTTTGCATTCGCCCAAGAAATAGGCTGCGTT